CCCTCCCAGACCCGTCCCGTGTGAGTACAAAGTACATCGGAGACCTTGAACCGATCTATCGAATGGCACCGTATAAAAGCGTTTGTCTCGCCGCCCCTCTGACTGCGACTAGGTATATCCTTCACGGGAAAACGATGTTGAAAGCGAAAGTTTTCATGGTCCCGAACTTACAAACGTACTCACGTCAAAGATGATAATCCACCGCGCCGCCACACGAGTCGGTCGGGCTAACCTAATTCCCACCGCCTAGCTTTTTCCACCCTATCTCTCTCTCTCTCCCTTTCTTCGATGTACACACTTCGATGTCTTTGTTGACGTGCACACCGTTTCTTTTCGAGTGTCTGCCTTTGCCTCTATTAAGCCGCTTTACTGTTGCCTTTTTTCAACACAACTCATCCCGCTCGCCCGTATTATCCTTCGCAAGCGTTAATTCTCTCGTGTAGTCTATTCGACCGTAACCGCGTCTATCCACTTGTACCCCGGACGTCTTGTTCTCGAGTAGTTTATGACAAATCCGTTTGGATAATTCGCTCATATTACAATATAATATGAACTCTACTAACAACCTATTAAGACGCATTACCGCTGTTGTACTAGTTGACCATTAAATCCACAAGGGCTTGTGCACGATCAATGTCCATTTTAATATCTTTTTCAGCTATTAATCAATTACTATCGTATAGAACAAATAATAATCTTAGAAAAATCCCACAAATTATTAAAATTTGTTAGCAATAAAATTATAGTTAAGCAAATCTTTTTGTTTAAGCACACGGGCGAATACAAGGGGAGGTTCCTATGGGAGTTTATGTACTTATACGCATTAAAAGTATATATCTATGTTTTTTTTTTTTTTTTAATAATAATATAATGTATTAGAATATGTATTTTTTTTTACATAGTAAAATTTAACTCTATGACTATATTATTTATATTATGTATTTTAAGTACATTTTTTTTATTCCTAGATACTCCACCCCTGTAATTGGAACACCGCTCTTTTGAATGAACTAGACATTTTTAAGCAAACTATAAAAGTACTTTTTTAATTGTAAACAAAATTTAACTGTATATTACGGTCATCGTATAGAACAAAAAATAAGATTTTATAACTTATTATAAACCTTTGGAAGATTGTAAAACTTCATTTTATCACTCCCCAAACACGTGTCTTCACAAAAATAACTGAAAATAGTTGAAAGTTTTAAACAAATGCAGTGTCAATATGAATGAATCAATAAAAAATGTCAGCTTCGTGCACAATTCTATTGACAAATCGACTATACATATTATACTTATTAACAAACGGGTACTTCAAACGTGACTCGGTTAATAAACTAATAAATAATTTAACGATTGAACGGTTATAATATCTTCACTGTTCAGCAGTTTTGTTGGAAACAATTTGTCGAAGAGAACAATTCAATTATTCAAAACTGACAGTGCGAGAATGCACGTTAGCGAGCACCTTGCTAATGTTATATTATAATGTTTCTGTCTTTGTCTTAATTCATAAAGTTTTCACGAATGTTAATGTAAGTGGGGTATTTGCATACGACGCTAGAAACATCAAAGCTGGTCGAACGAAAAGGTTTGTGGTTTATAGGTATTGCAACCAAATTATAAAAACGCTCCTTTAAATAAGTAAATCGTACCAAAAAGTTCATCGTTAATGACGTGGACATCAAACGTTTTATCCGCCATTTTTAAAATTTTTTTTTTGTCACTCCTAAATAACAATTTAAACGACACCGCTTACACAAAACGCGATTGATATAATTTGATTGACATGCTTTCCTATAAAAACGAACATTTTTTTTTTTTGTGATCCTTTCGAACGGAGAGACAACTTTTTAATAATGCCAATCAGACTTTTCACTATTCAAGTACCTACTCAGAACGACTTTTATTCTGGCACTGCGTTTTGCTCCTTTGAATTTTGTACGTTTACACACACACACACACTTTTTGCTATCAATCCAGTTAAAATGAAAGTTAAAAAAAAATAAATGGGTTACGTTCGGTTCTTTTTACCTATATTTTTTTTTACTATCCAAGGAAAACGATTAAAAAACTAAACCATCGCGTTTGAAAATATATTCTTCTTTTTCGATAAGAATTACAACGATAATTTGATTGTCTTTAAAAAAAAAAAATTGGTAAGTTTAAATATTTATTCTGACCGAAAAACGATTTGTACAGAATAAAAAAAAAAGCCAGCCTATTCGTTATAGATAGTTTGTGAATTATTTATTTCAATTATTTTCTTTTTAAAAATATTTATCTAACAAGACATAATCGAACGTATCATCATCATTTGTAAAAAGATAGTGTCGGTACGTGGCAATATTAGGTAAGCCTATATAATCTTCAATAACTTCCAAATATTGTTTGTACTTGTAGCCACGTGACGAGCTTTCGTGGCCTATCCACGTTTTTTTTATTATTTATGTAAATTTCAAAACTTTTACTACAATGAAAATTCTGATTTTTCTATATCGTTACAGCATATTTATCGCTTTCGACACTGACATTGTTGTTCGGTACACACTGGCGCTGAAAAAATAACCAATATCAGTTTTTTTCATCGAGTTCGAGCCATTATAGTGATTTATTCGTTGTTCGTTCTTTTCTGATAATATATTACAATATAGTTCAAGCGAAAAAGAATTTAAAAATGTTTAAAAAAAAAAAACACTTTAGTAGGTGTCAAAGATTTGCTTTAAATAGATTACATAGCTTATTCGGGTTACTTGTTTTAAATTACTTTAAGGAATTTAGATGACGATGAATAATAATGTCAAAACTTAAGTCATACTTATCCGGAACCAGCTAAAAATAGTCAGCAAATATACTTTGTTTTCCGGAGACAACTTTCGTGGAATTTCTGTTATAAATAATAGTTAATGAATTTTTCGTTGAAGTATCACTATATTACTTCTCCATTGCCGTCTGTAGGCAAATGACTTGGAATGTGGCAGCGACAAAGATATTGAAAATTCCTTGTTTATATTTTCATCAAAGCGATATGCAATGGAAACAGCTGAGCTAACACGGTATCTGTGACAGCTGTGTTCGCAGCTTTTGGGTCAAAAAGAAAATATGGTAATGATATAATCCTCAGGCCGGTCGTAGGACACTCGTTGACCTTATGTTTATTATCTTGAGGACGTTGACTCCCTTTACTTACTACCTGGCGTTATTTTAATGTCCCTATACTGTGGCCTAAGTAAGACCTTACCCATGTTGACCTTTGTACACATTTCACAATCGTTCTTCTTCCCACTTTTCCCTAGGCTAGGGTACTTTGCTAATGTCGACGCTAGGTATTCTCGGTTACTGTTGTCTTAATTAAACCAATATTGGTAATAGCTTTTTCTTGTACACGATATTTAAACATCTTGAAACCGTATTCAAATTATAAAATTTGAAGAGGCCCGAATATGTTCTTAAAAACTAGGCAACGGTTTTAAATGGATACATTTTTTTTGTAAGTCCGTTTATTTGGATTGTATTGGTAAAGATTATTTTTTTTTTTAAGTTGCATATTGGGTGTTGATCTGTGTTCCTTCAACGGGACGTTTTTATTAAGATTTTTGGAAATATTGTTTAATGTCTATGTACATTAATGTTCCAGTTACTAATTAAAAAAAAAATCGTTTAACGTAGTCAAATTTCAAATGTATTTACCTACCGGTTGACGTACAGTTATAATGATTATTTAGACGTTTTTTTTTTTGTTAAAACAGTTTCTCTTGGTAATATTATCTAATCTGACACTGGTGAAAACTCAAAGAGACATAAATTCGGTTAGCCAAGAGAGAAGGAACGGAATTTAAGTGACGCGTCAAGTAGAAATTACTGTCACCGTCGTAATAGACGAGGCGTGGATAATGTCACCCCACCGGCTAAAGGATAATAATATTATACTAGGACACTAGATATTATTATTATTATTATTATTGAACTCTAAACCGAAATTGCTGGGAAACGCTTAGGAAGCTCAAAACGGAACCCGTCGCGAATCTCCTCTTCTTAGGGACTCGAGCGAATCGAATTACGACCGAGAACGACGTTAAATTCCATTAAGCAATACGCCGGGGCCAAATTCAATTTGACCGTATACGACTTGGCTGTAAAAACACATATCACGGATTGGATCGATAATCGAGAAAATGTGATTCGCTACAAGATACACCACGAGACGAGAATAAGTTAGAAGATGACGTCTCGAGGTGGTTGGCGTGTGAAATAATAATAGTTCAACTTGCACAGCGCAGGCAGGCGATTATGGATTGTGGGGTTACAATTACCTACCCTACTTATCTACCGAAACCCTAGCAAATCACGTTTGACGGGTCGCTTTAACACGGTCGGGGGAGCAATTCGCCTTCTACCTATACACTTGTCTTGTCGTTATCATAAAGCTCCTCCGGCTGTCTAATCGTTTGATGCTAAGTAAATTATTCCGCTCCGTTTCTGCGTCTGCCGCCACACCTACGGTTTTAGTCTTTCACACATCATACAGTCGTTTGGAGACCAAAGCTCCAAACTAATTGACTACTACCGTGTTTTAACGTTATTCATGATTAATACTACACAGTGCCAATTTGTTTTTGCATACCATGTGGTTTTAGTGCATGAAAAGTAGGTCTAGAACAAAATACTTTCAGCTCCAGCAATCCTCGGATGGCAATTGGTAGGTTAAGAAAAGTCCAATGACACTATAATGCCAGCGTGTTAAACAGATACCTTTTTTGGGTTTCTATTGCTTTGTGATTTTAATAAACTTTTATGCACCCAGCACATAGCAACGTTTCCACTCCAACTTGTGTCTTCTAAATTAAACATAAGTGCGCGACCGAAATACTTTATATTCCTATTGTCAACGGCGCAGCGTTAAACCATTTGGCTTTTATATCTATAAAAAATCATAATATTATTATTGTTTTCTGGTCGAAGTGCTTAAGTACGAACAATCTGTTTTTTGTTTGTTCCAGGGGTCGATAGATTCAGACGTTATAACGAACACAGCGGATCTGTCTCTAGGCATCGAAAAAGAAGCGCTGCGGCGCGAAAATGAGCACAGAGCTCGTTCACAACTACTTAACAGTCGTGTAAGTATTGACAACACATATTTAATACTATGATAACAATACCGTCCGTTGGGAGCTTTGTAAGATGTATGCATGCTTAAGGATACCAGTCGTGGTAATCAAAAACTATAATATTGTACTTACAACTCTCGCCCGGTTAGAAAATTATAGAGTAAACTTTTTTGACAAAAAAATGTATTTTAAATAAAATTGAGGTATAAAATCTGTACCTCAGTACAGATAAAATATAAACAAAATATAGTCAAACCGACATAAAAAAAAAACTGTGCAAAACATTTTGGTCAACTCTATTAACAAACCGTGTTGGAAAGAACCTAGGATTATGAAAAAAAAGTCATCGTGTCTTTTTATTGTTTTCCAGCCGATAGATAGGATTTTTTTTTTATTAGGTCGTTAAAACAACCATCGAAAAATCTAAAAAAAAGTTTTTGGTTTTATTTGGTTTCACTGATTTGCATTTCGCATAATTTAATGATTTTTATTTTGTTAGAAAATAATCGTATTTTAACAGTTGTTTTATTGGGTTGGGGAGGACAACGGAGGGTAAAGCCAATAAAAGCTTTTTTATGTTAAAAAAAAAAAAAAGTTAAAACGCTTTAAAAATCGCACGACGCATTTAATTGGTACCTATCCGTTGCGAAATAAAATTACAATTTTTTTTTTTTTTAACTGAATGCTCTTTAAAACATTGCACGGTCGCTAACGCCCAACTGCTGACAGGAAATCGATTAAAACAGTTTTTTATACAAGCAATTTCATATTCTACACCGTACTTGGTGGGTAGGGGGGGGGAGTGGGGAAACAAATGCAAAATGATATCTAAATACGTGACACCGACGACGTGTGCAGACACAGCCTTTAAATAAATTTTCTTGGTAATTGAATCAATTACAATACCAATGCGACTTAGGTGTATTGTATATACCTATTATTTTCTCTGTAATCGTTTGTGCTTTTGTCGCATATTCTCAGAAGCCCGAATTGTCGGAATACAAAATGGGTCATCACCAAAATAGGTATTCAAATGGATTTACCGAAACTGTTTGTTTTACCCGGAACAACAATAATAAATTAAAATCCACAAAATATAAAGCTTGTTATGAGAGAGAGAGAAAATAATACGTTTCAAGGAAGAAGTAAAATAACAAATACTCAGAAATCACTTCCTATAATGCCAGTTATTTTTAATTAAATAGCAAACAAACAAATCCGGATGAAGTTAAAAGTATACCATTATAAAAGTAGGTACTTGGTATTATTTCCACAATTATTACTCGTATAATGTTTAATAATAGTTTGAGTATGATTTCCAAATGTTGACAATGCATTCCTCTTATATTATAATAATATACTATCCAAACGTGCAGTCATTGGCACTGCATAACTAGTTTAGTTAATATAGTCCCGCCACTGGAGCTGTGTCTTAATTATAATAATAATCTCTTGAAATTGGCAATCGAGTCGACCGTTATTATTATTGAAGTAGTCGCGAGAAGGTCAACCCGAGTTAATTATGAAACTCTATCCCTATGGTCCGTATAAATGCGGAAATAATATAGGTTAAATCCTTGTGGGAAACCCTTTACAATATACATATAATATTATGGCCAGTCGAATTATCACACTTTAAACTCTAAAAAACTGCGTCCAAAAACATTTCAATGATCATTTTTTATCAGCTCCTGAAAAAAAACGAAATTTGCGGTTACTGATTCAAGAAAAACAAACTATAACCATCAACAGTTTTTATTGGTTACTTAATAATTTAAACTCGCCCAACTCTACCGAGTATCTTTGTTTAGACTTACTGATTAGTTTGCCATTCAATCGTTTGTTTCCCAGACAAAACCGGTGGCGTTTGCTGTGCGAACTAACGTGGCGTTCGACGGTAAGAAGGATGACGATTCGCCCATACAAGGCTGCGCCATCACTTTCGACACTAAAGACTTTTTGCATATCAAGGCAAGTACCCATAGTGCTAGAAGCACTTGCGAGCACGCGGTTGCGTCGAGTGTGTATTATGAAAATGTGATGATATTTTTTTTTGTTAAAATTCGTTTTCACAGGAAAAGTACGACAATAACTGGTGGATAGGCCGTTTGGTGAAGGAGGGTTCCGATGTGGGCTTCATACCGTCACCAGCCAAGCTGGAACTGCTGCGCCAGATGAACCCGTCGAGAAGCTCAAAAACCCATTCTTCCAAAACCTCGTCGTCGTCAAATTTAGGTGGTGTAATTAATGATATGCTGACTACCAATAAGGGGGGCGATTCAGGGGGTTCTACCCCTACCACTCCCGGTATGTACCTACCCGGTTTAAAAAAGTAACATTTTATTGTCTCATCTCCAGTTCTCATCACTGTGTACTCTTGTGTCTGCGTGTGTTTTGTGTTTGTAAGGCACGAACGTTGTAGTCGATTGTTTTTTTTAACGAGCATCATTAATAATAAAATAAGTACTCGTTATGTTCATAACCCTATAACACTCCCTAAATCCTAATGCTTTCCCCCTTATGATTTCAACGCGGGTATGACAAATTCTTCGAGGATACCCCGTTTAGGTCCAATGATTGTCCTGCAAGTATCGTGATCAAAGATTCCTTAAGATAGATCAACGGCTATCCTCGTGTATTGTAGGGATTTACGGGTTCTGTGAATAACGCGGAGTCTCCTAAATTAAAATACTTTAACGGGAATCCGTTACTTGGCTTCCACTCGGACGACTTATAAAGAAATCCTTCGGAACTTCCGGTGTTGTTGGAGCATTATTTAGCCGTTTCTACTTCGAAACAATTGAATTTTTTAGTTAAAAACTTTTTTGGTCGCATAACAACAGTCCTTCGTCGAAATTGCGTTTGATCACACTTAAATGGCGAAAAGTTCACAATAAAACAGTGTTCGACAAAAGCATAACCATAATAATAATAATTATAACTATATCTTAAAATTACTTACAATTCTACTGCGCAAAAATGTCTAATAAAACATAGTCTCTTTTCATTTTTTTAGTCACCAAACAACACCTATCTCGTAACTATGATTTTAAAAAGACAGCTAACTTAATATCGTTTTTTTGTCGAGGCTTGCTGGTTTATAAATTAGTCCGCCATTATCATATTTTAATACTTTCATTAATTTCATGCGATTTGGCATCCTTTTGGCGTTTGAAAACTACATATTATAAAACTTCTTTAAAAGTTATTTCTACAAAGCTACAGTAACACACGCAGATAATTTTTGTTTTGGTGTTGTTAAAAACACAAAGCAACTGTTAATTATCATCATTTGCTAACAATGATAATATTCATAGAATGTTTCTTATAATTTTATTCTACCAATGAAATGTTTTACTTTTTTTAATTCGTGTATGGTCATAATGAATGTTGTTTTTATTCTCTTCCATAGGTATATAATTTTACTCTTGCAGTGGTCCCAAAGTCATTGCTGTGAAGTTAAATATTTTTTAAACGTTTAAATTAATATAAATACCAAATAATAATAAGAATACGTCTAAAATATACATTTTGAATTTAAGTCACCATCGTGTCATTTGCTGCCTGTTCATGTCTCATAAGTGATTTTGTGGTGACAGTGTTAAAACTAAATTACCTATTCGATTCCTTATGAAACATTGTTATACTGTTTGGATTGAAGTGATGAAAACCAAAAAGGGTATATTAAGTGGAATGTTTTTCAAAATTCTGTTTTTAATCATACACTATTTATCAATGGACTCTATTTCTGTCTGTTCCTAATTTATAATTTTCATTGATTTTTGAAAGAGATACAATAAAAAAAAAATTACAAATAACCTCTAAAGACCATCAATTCTCCCCGCCCCCCCCCCCATCTCATTAAATTGCTTACATTTTTTATTATCATCGATTCGTTTGTAAATTCGTCCACTCTGTCTTTGTTTGATCTGAATTTCATGTTTGGGTTTTGAATTTTGTGGATTATGTTATTTGAGTCTAGTTGCCATTTAGATATTTGTTATAAGTATGTTTGTTTTGTTCGGGAAATAACAGAAGACGACGATATTGCAAGCGGCCGTATATCCGCCAGAAGTACTCTGACCGCACCGACTGCAAAAGACAAAAGAAAAATTTTCTTTAAAAAACAAGAAACCACGCCGCCATATGATGTAGTGCCGTCAATGAGACCAGTCGTTCTAGTCGGACCTTCTCTGAAGGGCTACGAGGTCACCGACATGATGCAGAAAGCTTTGTTCGATTTTCTCAAACACCGTTTCGAAGGAAGGTATGATAACGTCGTTAAAGATAGTTTGTCTAAAACTTCCAAATAGTTTATCCTTTGATTCGATATAAAACGTTCATTTACAACTTCTGCACCGTTTTCCATCATCTATTGTATCTTTTTTCTGAAGACATACATTGTCTCTTTTATATATCCTATCGTAACCATCTCAATCTATGCTTTCTTATTAATTCTGTTGTCAAGCCACTTCCTAATAGTCATCCACAATTAGATTGGTGTCCTTATTGCATTAAACTTTTAGAAACCAATTTAATCCAAAAATCAACTCTCTAAGGTTTATGATATTATTCATTCCTACTAAAATTTCATATCTGTTCACTTTTGCACCGTTTGTTTAGAATAATCATAACACGCGTCATGGCTGACATATCTTTGGCGAAAAGGTCTTTGTTGAATAATCCATCGAAGAGGACCATAATCGAGAGTAAACCCGGTTCGAATTCCCGGTCAAATATAATGGCCGACGTGCAGCAAGAAATCGAACGAATTTTCGAGCTCGCCAGAACGCTACAGGTAAGAGCTATTCTCGCGGGTCATGTTTTGTAAACTAAAGTAAATGGTTTGCCTATAGTTGGTGGTTTTGGATTGTGATACCATTAACCATCCGTCGCAGCTAGCGAAGACTTCTTTGGCGCCGACCATAGTGTACTTAAAAGTATCTTCACCCAAGGTAAGCCTGATGACTGTTTATGGCGACTATAGTCAATCTTAATTATTCAATACAATATCATACCCTAACTCTTGGTTGTTTCCCATCTGTAACGGCGTTAGGTGCTGCAACGGTTGATCAAGTCTCGAGGCAAATCGCAAACAAGACACTTAAACGTGCAAATGGTAGCTTCCGAAAAACTGGCACAGTGTCCACCGGAAATGTTCGACGTCATACTGGACGAAAATCAGCTAGAAGAAGCGTGTGAACATATATCCGAGTACTTAGAGGCGTATTGGAGGGCCACTCACCCGGCCGTCACGCCAGACCTCAACGATCCGCCACTGTTGACCCGACCGCTAAGGGGTTCGCCGAGCATGGACGTGCCAATGATGATGAACAATTACGGATCGTCCGGTTAGTTATCAGATTAGCCCTAATGTTCGATAAGACCAAACCTAGATTAGTTTTTCGAACGCCTCTATTGCTAACCAGATGGCAATAGAAGTGTAGCCGTTATCTTTGAATTTCTGCCTTGTTCACTTAATGTCTCAAATTTATATCAGATTTATTGTACGGCTACTTAATTAGGAACAGGGGTAACGAGAATAAATACGGAAGAGATGTATCAAAAAAGTTCTTAGAGTTAACATAAAATGATCTATTTATATATAAATGGAGGTTGATATCTAGAACGACTCAAATTTAGTAGTAGGCAATAGTGGAAAAGCTTAAGACACATATCTGTCGCCGAGATTAGGTTGACGTTCTTGTTCGTATTCCCTTAGCAGCCTCGATTATTTGCTCCATGTGCAGAAAGCCTATTCTTTCGTTATGTATTTCTTCCATTATCCGCTTTCTTTGGTTAAATCAACTGAAAACTATTGTGTGGAGAACGCTAGAAGTCTTTTTAGTGGTTGGTTATTGAATTTATAACCTGTTATGCCTGGAGTTGGATGGAAGTCAACTATCCATTGAAGTCCCGAAATCCTTCTCTTCAGTCTCGGTAGAATTGTGTGCGTCCAAGCTCCGTACAACCTCAGTGATAGTGCCTATCTCAATGCTGACCCTTGACCCTTGCGGTCATTTATCACTATTTTTATTTCATAAGTGTTGGTTTGCTCTTGCCAACAGAATATCATTCTATGGAACGGATGCCTCCGCGTCTGGAACGCATGCGCACCGAGTACGACGACTACGAGCTCAGCGACCACGACAGCATGGTGTACGTACCTCCGGCCTCGGCTTACCAGCCGCACCCCAAGACCCAGCAACACCTTCATCCCCAACATCCGCATCATCAGCAGCAGCACCAGCCATTGCACCAGAACCACCACCAGCAGCAGCAGCAGCAGCATCATCATCATCAGCAACAGCAACATCCACACCAGCCGCAGCAGCACCAACAAAATCAGCATCAGCAGCACCAGCAACAGCATCAGCCTCAGACTCGACCCCAGCAGAGCGTGTCGTTCGACCGGAACGTCACACAGAGAGACGGCGGCGGAAGCGGATATGCCCGCCGACCTGGCAGCTCCAATAACATGCACCATCAGTTGTCGTATCAGCTGGGTTCGCAAACCGACATGTTGACGCACAGCCCACCGGAGAACTCATCCGACCACATGATGTCGTACATGTCACCGTCGGTCAGGCCGTCCGCGAGTAGGCGTTCAAACATGTAAGACCGTAGTAACAACACTGAAACCCACCGATAACAATAAAAAAAAAAAAATGTTTAAAATCAACTATAAGTTATAAATAAATAAACGACTATTCTATATTAAAAACAGGGTAAATTATGATGGTCTGCGACGGATTTCCATCATTTTTGTGCATCCGTCAGGTCATCGTGACACCCTTTAATTGTTATATTATATTATAAACTACAAAAAAAAAAAAAAAAATTGCCTTAATCGGACCAAATCAAATATTTGTTTGCGTTAGCTTAAAACTTATCATACATTCATACGTTTTTTTTTGTATAGTAATAATCGTATTACCTACTTATTAACAAGTAATATTTTATTAAGTGTAATTATGAGTTTTTTAACACGAAAAATTGAAAGAAAATGCTAAAAAAAAAATGTTAAAACTGAAAATGAAAAAAAAAAAATAATAAGCGCGTATTAGTGTGATATATATAACATATATTACGTTAATATTGTAATAATAATAATATTATTGTTATTTGAGTATACATTTTTTTCTAGTAATACTCGTTTTTATTTTAATCATACAACCGTTCACACACAGGATAATGTGGGGTAATTAATTTAATACTGTAAAAGAAGGAATTTGATAAAATTTGAAACAATTGATTTAATAACCGTTTAAAATTATTTATCTCATAAGGCATGTTTTGAAAATCCGATACTTATTTTTATGTATATAAATTTTAAACATTGAAAACCGAGAAAATTTGAAAACGATAATAATTGTATACTATTATGATAATGTTAATTTTGTGCTATGATACGTATTGTACTGTTTCGTCGTTTTTTTCTAATATAATAACGTTCCATTAATTACAAAAAAAAAAATGTTTTGAACGCGTTAAATTTTGTTGGGTCGTTTTAATATTTTTATTTAAATGTAGGCTAAGTGGCAAAATTATACCTCATCATTTTGGAATGTCCCGATTTCGCCCAACTCTGTAACTCTGTAACTGTTATCAAATACTCGTCGGTTTAGTTTTTCTTTGAGTTTTCGTCTGGTGAAGGCTGCCTTAATTTCTAGTTCAGTCAAATTGAAGGAATAACTAATAAAAGCGACAGTAATTTGAAATAAAAACTGTGTACAATTAAACGTCACAGCGTTTAGAACGTGGTCCATGTTTGAAAAAATGCAATAATATCATTAGCTTAAGTAAATGTTGAATAAGGAAATGTTAAACAATCAATGTTGATGATCCAGAAAAAATGTATATTCTTAATTTTTGTTTTAGTTTTTCATTTTATGCCTAATATTTAATATATATTTGTGACTCAAAGATAGGGTTAATAATAGCAAGACTGGTTGAACTGGAAAAAGCGTGAAGTTAAAAATTACTTATTAAGTTAATTTAGGTTAGGTTACTTTTTACTGAAAAAAAACAAGGTTGCGCTAAGTTAATTACTTATTTTACTATATTTTAATTTATGTAATAAAAGTTGCATAAAAAATATTATTTCAACGAATAAATTTGATTTTACACCAAAAAACATTTTTTTCGCGTATACGCAAATTTTTAACTCGACTGTTATTTTAGTTATTTAAACTTAAACTAGTTTAAACTGAAATTGCTTCGCCCAGCCTTAAAAAATATTAATTAGGGTCAGTTGGGCCTGTAGGCCTAGCTGTTTTCAAATGAGGCTAACAGAAATGCAATTTTTTGGTAATTATAATTGATAGCATTTATAATAATATGTTAATACGTGTTAAAAACAAATGTATTACAATTTGAAAGCTATTGGTTATTATTATTTAAAAAAAAATTGCCTTTACGATTGAGCCATTTGGTTACAGTTAGATTGGTCTGTTTTCGATCATTGCCGCCAACTAGAAATTAATTCAACGGAGAAATGTTGTTCTTTATTTGTTTAAATGTATTCAATTTTGAATTTATTTTTTATGCAAAAGCGTTATTTTTTAAACCGGATTCCGTAGTTTTTTTTTAATTATTAAGGGTTGTTGCACGCACTGATCTGGTAACTGGTGTTAAGTGTTACGCATATAATAAACATGATAACATGATAACAATCAATAGATAAGATAAAGATAAGTAATGTAAACATCGGCCGCTATTAGAAAACGGGTTGTACCACTTACCGCGTTGGTAACTATTTTTCGGAGCTCACGACAGCGCAACTCGTCCGTGGGTTTTCCCATTCCAAGCCTTTTATTTTTATTTTTGGACTTTCGTGTCGCGAATTTGATACTACTACTATTAAAATTAATCAATTAACTATGTATAATATCATAATGTATAATTGTTGTTATTATTAGTCAAAGCTGTTGTATAACTTTTGTAGTATTCGTATGCAGTGTTGTAGCAAATGACGGTAATGTAATTTTTTTTTTCTTTTCAAAACCCAGTATTTTTTAGTGAAAAATGTTTTTTATTTCGCCATTGTTATCCGTACTTGTGTTTGCATATGACATTAAAAATAAATAAATAGGTTTGATTTTTTAACCGTTGTCCAAAATTGTGTCTGTTAGAAAATATTATTGCAGATGGCAAAGCGATAAACGATTTATTTATTTTTAATTTTTTACCTAAGACTTAAAAATATATTATTGTTTGTCATTATTGTATACCTATTGTGATGATCGCTGTTTGCGTATCGACAATATTATTATTATTATTATACGTTAAGTCGAACATGTGCTGTACTTAACGATTTTTGATCATTAATATATTATAATATTTTGTAAGACTAGTGTAAAATGTAAAGCCAATACATTACCTACTATCATATTATTATTATTATTATTATTCGCGCCTATCCGAAAATATTTGTAATCACATAACATATATTATTATTCTTTACGGTGTTCAAGTGGAATATTTGTCCAAGTGAATTGTTTGAAGCTTTTTTTAGAATATTTTATACGGGTTTTCGTTGTATTGTGTAATTATTCATTATACTCATTATTATTATTATCATCGTAAAATTGTGTTGTACTTTTAATTTTTTCCCCCTCATTTATTTAGGCGATACGACAATGATTATTCCTTTAACGTTTAGGATATAATATTAAAAATTGAAAAATTAAAAAAAAAAAAAAACCATTGCCGTAAATTAGTATGGTAAAAATGCAGTATAGCAGTATGGCTGCTGGTAAAAATAAATAACAAATATTTAACATGTACTTTGTGTTAAAAAAAAAAACAGAAGAAAAATTACAAACACCTCCCTCCCTCCAAGCGTGGATTTCGCACGAATTGCTTGGGGCATAGAATTTATGTCTTATTTGATTGTTTATCGATAACAAAATTATATATATTTATATATAAGACATTATATTTTTCGACAATGTATCATTTCGAGTCGATAACTAATAATATAATATTAATTACTTGGTTTGTATTTACTTATAATTACTATTATTATTATTATTACTATTACGGTATATATTCAATATGACACTGTTAGTGAATAAACAAAAATTATTGTGTTCGAATCGTACATGAAAAATGGTTGAAATACATTTGTTTTGTTTATTTATTTGATATTTTTGAAAATTAAAAGAGTATGAAACATTTCTTCGATTAGCTTTTCATCGAAAGCAAAATTATTATTTATATATTCAGGATTAGGATATAAGTGAATGAAATTGTCCAGTATTGAATCTATGTGCATTATTTTTGTACGACTATTGTGGCAATGATAAAAAATTCTTAAATCCTTATTAATAAAAAGTTTCTCCATGTCGGCCAAACCGTTAGTCATGTGGATCAACATCGGCCTGGACTCTTTGTCTTTTTTATATTGGCAACTTTTCATAAAGCCCGACCAAGTAGTTCGAACCGTTTTTAACCGTTAAATATATCTGCAGCTTAAAAACAAGCCAAAGTGTTCAAAGGGTTTCGAGGCAGTTGTTTTCACGGATGGGCTTCTTTGTTAGAACCTTCGTATCTATTTTTCCATATTTATGGTGCTTAATCTCTAAACTTTTTATTTCACACCAGCCAGGATACACGCGAATTCTATTCAAAATATCAACGTACTCCTTATTTATATGATAGGGCGTTTCGCATGCCATATAATTACGGAAGAGGATAAAAGGTAGAATCAGAAAACAAAATTTGTAATACATTTTTACGCTTAAAGCTGACATGGTAGTATGGACAATGCACAGCAAATCAGTACGACCAAAAAAAAAAAAAACAAAACAACCTACCGAAGTACAATTTAAAAAAATACGCACCATATGGTAGAAGCATATGTCTGTACAACACAACAAAATACAACAACTTTTGAACACTAATACACCTATTATTGTATATATCAGAAATCGTAACTGAATTGTTCTTTAATTTGTTTAAACTTAAAACAAATTTCCTCTTTCTCTCCAAAATCGAGAATATACCCAAAAATATTATATATTTTTTTTACTTAAAACTACAGCATTCTGTAACCTTTTGGAAAATAGTCAAATTAGTTCAAAAGGGGGATTTTTGTTTTTTTTTTTAATAGCAACATATGTTTTTAATTACATACATTTGTTGACGAAAAATTAAAAAAGATGTTAGCGTTTGAATTTTTCATTTTCATTTATCTGTTCATTAGGTATGACTTTGTAAAGATAATACCTTTCCTTTTAATCATTATCATATTTCTTCGGTTTTCCAAAACCGGTAGCACATAACATTCTTCTGAAAATGAGATTATAAGAAGAAGATTTAATGAAATCATAAGAATTCACATCGACTCCGCTGTCACCGTGTATATCAAAAGTGCATTTATATATTAATATGCAATTAATTGCACTTAAATAAACAAGCGGAACGTTGCGTATAAATCAAGAACTCGATGCGGATATGATTAGCAAATAGTCTTGGCATGTGCTAAAATAAAAATGTAATTATTCTTAATTTTTTAATCAAATTTTCTAACACTGTGTTAGAAGCAAATACCGCAGGAAACGACTATAGTGGGATATGCAGTAAACGAATTAGATTGTTATGTTAATGAAATTTTCGGCAGATGTTTTCACAATTTGGGCTTTGAATACAAAGAGGGAGTGGTTGCGATCGGGATTATTTAAAATATTATTTTCACCGAATTACCGATTTACTGTGTAGAATAATCAACACGATATCGTGTAAATCTGACTAGTAGATGATATTTTTATTTAAAACAATTATGTAGGTAATGACAACTTGATATCAAATAAAATGTGCCGCATTGGTACATTTTATTTGATAACTTTTTACACGTACACGTATACTAAAATATTTTAAGCAAGCCCGTATAATAATGAACTTAAAAAAAAAATCACTGTCACACATGTTTTGTAAAATAATAATAAAGAAAAAACTGAATTCACAACTGATGTTTGTTATTTCCAAATATTAAACATTCTCTTTATCAATACATTTTGTTCATTATGGTTTTTCATAACATTTTACAGATTTTTGAAAATGTATTTGTTTAAATTTACATTTTATTTTGTCATTATAGGTAGATTTTTTGAATTACTACAAACTATTAATATCATACATCAATTATTTCGCTAGAACTAATCCAATTATCACACCGGAAATATTTTATACCTCATATTGTTTTAATTTATAGAAATTATGAGAAAGTTTACATACCAACAGTAATAACAATTAAAACAAAGTACACAATATGGATTTTTTCTATTTACTTTCAAAAAAATTCATGAAGGAATTAGTATAAATAATTCAAATACTATTTTTTCAGATATATTCACAATTGTTTTGTGTTAAAATCTAACTCCCCGGTCCTAAGTATATTTTAAATAATGTCTCTATGTGTGTATTTTTTTCACGTATACCTTCATTGTTATATCTACGGGATGTATACAATTTCGCTTATATGATTTTTAAGATAATAAAATTATTTGAAAATATGGAATGTATTTTATTTGTGTTTACCTTATCTGCTTTACTGTGTTGGAATAGGTAATCTATAGATAAAAACCGTTTGTCTATCATTATTTCAAAGTCTTTTTTAGTGACTTTTTTGCTGTTTGTTATCGCCAAATGGACAATGCGAACATAAATTTGAATTTTATGTGCTACCGGTTTTGGAAAACCGAAGAAATATGATAATTATTAAAAAGAAATATAGTATCTTTACAAAGTCATAGCTAATGAACAGATAAATGAAATAAAAAATTCAAATGCTAACATATTTTTTAATTTTTTGTCTACAAATTTATGTAATTAAAACCATATGTTGCCATTTAAAAAATCCCCCTTTTTGGCTAATAAGGATTGGTGATGAAAATTTTCAAAATATTCATATTTTATGAATTTGTTATTGTATGTTAGAATATAATAAACAAATATATTTAAATAATTACAATACATATTATTATAAATTATAATGTAACCTTATGTCATTAAAATCGTTTCTCAAACAATAACATACAAATTACAATTTATTATTGTATGTAGTTTTATTAACTAAATGAATTGTTACTGTATTTATTAACTATTGTAATTTTGGCGAAATTTGTATTTATCTAATTTGGAAAAATAGCAAGCTCAGTGTTATAACTTCCGTTGATAAAGAACAACAAAAAATCAAATGAAAATCCTGTCAAAAAATCTCCGAAATTTCGACATTGCTCTTCTATTGTATCCAGAAATGAATTAAATGCGACTTCATTTTCTACATCAATGTATGATATGTCGACCAATTCAGTTTTTCCAGGATATATTTTATATTGACACAATATGTTATTTATTTCATTTGTTATTATTTTCAAAATTTCGTCAATCTGCTCGTGATTAAATTCGTCTATTTTACTATACAACGTTAATACGTGGTTTAATGGTCTGTCTTTGATGGAAATGGACACAACAATGCCGGAAATGAGTAACATAAAGTCATCATGGCGTTTTTTAAACTTAGGGCCGTCCACCTTTTTATAAGCTAAGAGTTGCACCACAACAAAAAAATATAGTTTTAAACTAACGATTTCTAAACATGTTTGCTGAAAATCAATGTTTTCAAAGGGACGCGAATTCCAGTCTCTGTATTTAAATTGACCGCTGACCTTAGAAGTCATTCGTATAAACCAATCCTTCATCGTATACCATTCAATAGTTACATTGGATATTGATAAATAAAGATGATGTCCGTTATGTCTCATGTATGATAAGAATAAATGTGGGATGGACAAAGGCAACGGACTTTTATTATTATTAAAATGTATATGTCTTTTGTCGTCAAAACTATTAAAAGTGAACAACATTTTTTCGGTATCGTTTGCATTTTTGTTTAAAAAACTGTTCGCTATGTAATTATTTTCCACGCACATATTCACCAATTCGCCTAAGGGTTTTCGATATTGTTCTAGATCAGCAACAGTAGTATCATATATAAATTTATTTAAAGACAAAAGGTTGATGTATAGTTTCCAAAGCCATGTGTAAACCACGAATAATCCTACATACGCCATCTCTATCATATTGCGTACACGCTGAAGAACAGGTTGCATATTCCGATTGGTTTCATTTAAAATGTTATACAATAGAAAATGGTCTGTACACTGAACTTCTTGCATCTTGCAGAAGTATTTCAGTTGAGCGAGTGCTTTATCGTTTGTCGAGTCTTCTGCATTACTCGAAGATAATATTCTTTTTTCGTGGTCGTTAAAACGAATTGGGGAGTCCTTGGTCGTCTCTAACGAATTCAACAGTTCAATGAAATCGATTGAATAACGTCCCACATAGATCCATTGTTTAGAAAATGCTTCCTAAAAACACATTAATATTATTATTATTATCACCAACATAAGCTCAAGGCCTTTTTATTTTACTCGGGTTATTCCTAACTTTAGTCTGGTTCTAAAGTGTAGAATTTCCATTGGAATAAATATGGAACGTGGCCAAAACAAAGACATATGAGGTATGGCATCTTAAGTGATGAAATTATGTTCAAGAATCAAGTCATAGTTATGGGGTAGGTACTCGATTTGGAAAAGAAACAAAATATTAACGTTTATATTACAGTTTTCTAATTTGGGAATCTCCGATGATATAGAAGGATCACTTGTAGTATAGCTGTATTCCTAAACATTCATATAGAGCGCTTCCAAAAAAGCAAAAACCTTATGCTTTCAAACCTATTGCTTTAATTTGGAACGAGCAAATCAGTTTTTAATCGTGATACTTATATGCAACATATTTTACAAGCACAGGAGGCGTTAATTTTTATTTATGTACTTTTAAAGTTGATACATAGTAATTATAATTACAAGTATAATATTTTATTGCATTTTCGATTCACCTTAGTTTTTTCGGGAAGATCCATTTCCGCTAAAGCATTGTTTACTTTCTTGGCAAAAGTTATGGATTCAAGTTCAACTGTAGGACAGGGTGTCAATGCATTTAAATAGAATACCATCTAGAATAATAAAATTATGAAACTTGAGTTAGCTGTCATTATGAATAATTAAGATTTTTTTTTTTATAGTAACTTTTGCCATATCAACTGTGTGTTATGTGTTTTTGTGGAGCGTACATGTATTATACCAAAACAAATTAATGGTGCATAAAAACACTTGGGCATGTGCAATATAACAGAAACTAAGAAGTTTATACTCAATATATTTGTGACGTTTTGGCGGGTATAATCGTAGATAGTTTAAAAAAATTAAATCAAACAGATAATTCTATAATTCTAACCTAACCTTAAAAAAAATTACCCGGTTATTACGGCAGAGATTGCGAGTTGTCTTCCAAAAAAAGCCATTTTACTTAGAAATTATACATTCAATGTAACATTACGATTATCATTTATGTTCTTGTTCTATGGAAATGCTTAAAAATAATCCTCTTTGTTAAACCTGATAAACCTCCTGACATCCTAAACTCCGATAAATCTTGTGCCTTTTTCATCAATAAGACTAGAAAGGCTTATTCTTAAGCTAATGACACCATACAACAACGATAACAACATACTCCTAAGTACTCAGATATCAACGTCTGTCATAAGTCAGCTAATTCCGTTTTATCAAAAGCTTCATATGGTTTAAAAATGGTATTTACTTCGTTTGTTCTTATTTTAAAAACGTCTGTAAACTGCTGGTGATTACATTTTTCAAGCAAAATCTTAACGTTTTTATTACACTTTTCTAACTTTTGCAATCCCGTCGATTTAATGAGATTACTTTTAGTATAGCTGTACTGAAAATCTATTCCTAAACATCAATATGCGCAATAGAGCGCTTTCAATGAAGTAAGAACCTTAAACTTTCAACGTACGTGCTTTAATTGTATTTTTATATTTATAACAAGCAATCAAGTTTTAATTTTAATACTTTTATACAGCAAATTGTACAAGCATATCAGGGGTGAATTTGTATTTCTCTATTATTGAAGTGGATACATAGTAATTATAATAAGAAATATAATATTTTTAATTCACCTTTGTTCTTGCGGGAGGTGCCACATTGTCCAATTCATATCTTTTATTTATTTTGTGTCGCTGGTAAAAAATGACATATTAGGTGTGGCATTTTAAGCGATGACTTGATGTTCAAGAATTAAATTATAGTCATGACTCATGAGGTAAGTACTCGATTTGGAAAAGCAATAAAGTATTAACGTTTTTTTTTTACAATTTTCTTGTAGTATAGCTGTATTCATTAACATCAGTATAGAGCTATTTCAATGAAGCAAAAACCTTAAGCTTTCGAGGTTTTTATTTATGTACTTCATGTTGATACATAGTAATTAAAATTAGAAACATATTATTTTATTTTATTTTAAATTTACCTCCATTCGTTGCCTTTTCGATAAAGTTGGGTAATGGGATGACTCTGCAGTTAAATAGAAAACCAACTGGAATAATAACATTATAAAACTTGAATTAGCTGTCATTATGGATATTTAAGATACTAGTAATTTTTTCCGCATCAACTGGGTATTATGTGTTTCTTTGTAGCGTACACGTATCATACAAATTATGTTTTTGTATTATACATGGTAAAGTATATCGAATAGAAACACTTAGACGTGTGTAACATAATAAACACTAAGTAGTTTACTTAATATATGTTACGTTGTTGCAGGTGTATTGATTCAGGTTACAAATTGTATGTTATAGTTAAAATAAAAAAAAATTAAAATTAACAGACAATTCTAAAGTATACCTTAAAATATTACCGAGTTACAATCTTATCGAGGCGTTTTCAAAAAAAACTATAATATATTATAAATTATACATGAATAATAATATATTTATTACAATATTAAGATTTGGATATTTAACATATAAATGTCAAATTGATAGAGTTCCACTTTCTATATACGATATTACCTGTAGCTTTTTATAAAAAAAACAGATTTAATACTTTATGTTTATTTGAATCTACTGACAATTTATTATAATTTATAATGCAAATTTATTTCCTCGAATTAAAATTTCTATTATTGTTAATTGCTGTACATTTATATTTGCTCTAATAAAAAATAAAAGGCCCCAAAGTAATAAAAATCTGTTTTTTGAATTTTAGGCGCAATACAAGTCGGTCGATTTTAAAGATGTTGTTTTTGTTTTTCTTGGTTAGGGTATTAGTATATGACTAACAGAGAACTGTTTAAACTAGCATATCAAACAACATACCAACATTTGTGTTGTACTTATTTCAATAAATAACACGATTTAAAATGTGTTTTCAATGCTTTTGGTATATTCTAGCAAAAATACTATTATCCAAAAAAGTAATAACAACGATAATATAAAATATATTTAAGATTATATGAAACCAGAGATGGGCAGAATTATTAATCCCGGATTACTGGATTATTTTTTAATTAATCCAAGTAATCCCGGATTACTTGGACTAAAAATAATCCGTTATTCCAATACATCGAAATTATGGATTACAAATAATCCAATACGGATTACAATTATTCTATCATGGATTACAAGTAATCCAGTAATCCCGGATTACTGTATTATTTTTTAATTAATCCAAGTAATCCGTTATTCAAAATGACGGATTTATGGATTACAAATAATAATTAATTAGTATACTCTGCCCTAGTAGGTACTTTAACAAAGCTCAAGTGTATCTAGCTTAAACACATTTTATAAAACAACACTTTTTTGTCAATTTGTTAAATTTTTTAAATAAATTATTTTGCTGTTATTGTTTAATTTTATAATCTGAAAAATATGATATCATACCATAATCAAGTTAACATTTTACACTTAAAATTTTGAAATATTTTGTATGCAGAAATCGGCTCAGCGGTTTAGTTTTACTCCTAGTAAAAATAAAACACATTATTGTAAAAACAATACCGCCCAGCTCCGCATAAAAGAAAAAAATGATTTAAATACATTTTAATTTAAAAAAAAAATATTATTTAAGTACTATGTTTTGGATTACTGGAATGAGAAAAAAACAGTAATCTTTAAATTTGGGTTATTGGAATAAAACAAAAATCCTAAATTAATAATGTAATCCGTAATCCGTAAACTAGGGATTACTGGTTTAATAAGGTAATCCGTAATCCGTATCCTAGGGATTACTGGACTAAATTTAATCCTTAATCCAAAAATGTAGAATTACTGGATTAAATGTAATCCAGTTTTTTTATTAATCGTGGATTACGAGTAATCCGTCTGTAATGGATTACGGATTGTAATCCATTTTGCCCATCTCTGTATGAAACCATATAATATTTTCAAAAAAGTTTAATATGATATAAAAAGATAGTAAAATAGTAAAATTATTAGTAGAATAGTAAAATTATTCACGACCTAATATGGTAACTCGTAGATGCCCTGTGAGCAATAATTACAGCTATATGGATAAAAATAAAATATATAAAAAAAACAATAATTTTCTTTTTTATACTTAATATTATTTCATTAGTTTATACAGTTATTCAAACAAATCTCTAACATCCTTGTCTTTTTGCGAATGCGTAGAGCAAAATCGCATCATTCCAACAGCCTACAATACACACATTCTGCTTTGTTCTGTTCAATGAATTAATTTTGAACTTGTAAATTTTCTTTTAAATAATTATTGTATGTTGTTTTTCATGACTGTAGTGTAATAATAATCATTTTTGGCAAACTGGGCCACTTTTGGTGTGTTATTATTTCAATTAAACCTTTTCTAATAAAACCAACGCTCGCCACGTAACAGTGTCATAATATATACATATAAACGTATTTAATGTTGAAATATTATTTATAATTATACAAATAATTAAAATATTTATAAAAAAAACTGTCTACGTTTTGATAATTAAAATTCTGAAGGGGATAAGATTTAGGTATAAAAATAAAATATCACATTTTAAGTTAACTTGTTTTTTATACCTAAAAAAGATTTCAGGTCTTTTTTTTTGTGCTAACAAAAAAGGAATATTTTACTGTAGATTATGTTTATAGTTTTACTGTTTTTTTTTATGGAAAACAAGTGGTTTTGTGGCCATATCTTTTTCTATTATTTGTGTTTTCGATTGCTTAAATTGGCTTGAATAGGTGTACCATATTGTTACTAATATTATGGCGAATACAACTTTTGTACGAAAACCAGTAAAAATGCAGCAGATAGAACATTGTGAGGTATAGGTGGATACGCACTACACCCGTGGTTTCCCCTAAGGGCGTTATCATCCTTGTGATGAATAAATAAATAAAATTCGCAATCACCGACCCCAAAAACATAATATAATTTGACCACTTTTGAAGTTTTTTACACAAAAATCCAGAAAAATGTATTTCTCTTATTAATAATATGTAGGTAATCATATATTATTTTTCCTCACGTAATCACTGTCCACACATCATAACATACATTACAGATATTCCATTATTTTCCAAAAACTATGCTACAAATGAATCCAATGCAAGAATGATGCGGATTGTCAATTTAGAGCCGTCTTTCTCTTATCTTCGTAATATTATTTTATGTGATTTTATTTATTTTTAAATCATAGATATTACAGATAAATGTAGATAAAAACAAATTAATTAAAACTGGTACTTAATTACTCAGAACTTAATAGGATCACTCTAAGTAGATGTCCATGAGAATGTTGTCATGTTTGATAATATTTTTTAAAGATAATATTGTATGAAAGATAATATTTTTAAAGATGATATTGTTTTCCGGCAATTAAAGAAAAACTATAGTACCTAATTTTGTATTGACTATTTTTGTAAAGACTGTAAAGTGTTCTGTTGGTTCCTTTTTTGTAACGTCCCATAAATTGTGGTGATATATATCTCGGCGTGTTTCGTGACAGTGTTGTGTGTGGAACCGATATCTACCGGCATTACTGCCTGGATGATAGTAGGGTGAGGAAAAATATAAAGATGGTGTGATAGTTTAGTGTAGGTGAAAAAACAAAGGAGCTGTTTAATAGTTAATACCCAGTAGTTTTGGACGATACTTATAATATAACATGTGTGTAACCACGGATAAAGGTCTTTCACTAAGTTCAATAATATTTATTCCTATTTGAGGTGTTTTATCCTACAATTATGTTCCTATTCTTATTACACTTATGTTGTATACATATATATGTATAAACCACTTACCTTCGGATGTGCTTCAAAAATCAATGAGATCCTGGAATGATTGTAGATGAGAAGATCACTGGAGATGAAGATACTGGTAATATATGTAGATAGAGTAATCTTTATTGTATAGTATATAAGATATCATGTATTGTTCGAGATGTTATTCTTTTTCTTTAAGATAAGAGTGACGGCGTCTATATAATCAGTCTGATCATACATAGGCTATATGTTAGATAGTTATTAAATACGTTAAGCTTGCGTTGGGGATTACACAGCTACTTTTGAGTGTAATAGTTGGACAACAAACAAATACCTATCGATTGCTCAGACTTTAAGCGAGCGACTGTATGATTGGTAAGAATTAGACTACTAGAAAGCGAGCGATGTGAAGAGATTTTATACCCTTTTATTTAATAATGCTATTTTATATGACTAAAATTATTTCTATGCCCTTTAATAAATATTACACCAGATTATCCTATTTGCCCATTATCGTTATAATGGCTATTTAATTTTGGACTATTATTGGATTCAAAATTAATATGGAGTCTACTTTGTTAGATTTTATTTAGTTTTAAGAGTCACCTACTCAATGCATTATCATAAGTACTTTCTGCCTATATACATATAATACGAACAACGCTTAATTACTTTATGCATTATTTTATAGTTTTTTTTAGTTCTACGTCCACTCAAATACAGACAGACTAAATATCAGCCGAAATTGCTGTACTAGGTTAGTCACCAAACAATATTGCGATTAAGTTTAACTAGATTGATATGAATCCAAAAATGTAAATTTATTATTAACGTATTGACAGATTTGGTACGTTTCGGAGAATCATATGAATTATTCTAATAGGAACAGCAAGCTCTATCTATATATTCTATTGCTGCTGTTTGCAGTAACAGTATTTACTAAGTTGCGGCTGAGTTTGAGAAATGCACCAAGGTTGATTCCCATACTTGTTGATTCGACTTATGTCTTTTTCCTAAATAAAAACAAAAAAAACAATAATTTTTTTCTTTAATATTATAATGTTTCAAGTAAATTATAAATGTATTAAAAGTTACACTTACGTCAATAGTGAACTGATTTGTTTCGCTGTTGTGTTGACACGAAAATTCAAATACCGCGTGTCCCGGATTCGTTATTACTTTAAGTTGAAGATAAAATTTAGTCACTTTGGTGTTGGCTGACATGTCCGGAACAAAACCATCCGTGTCTGCAGCTTGATGAAACTTCAATACATCCTCGTTAGGTGCCATTTTAGTTGCCCATTCAATCCTCTCCAACTCAATGGAGGAACATAGGCTTGTAAATTCTGAATTATACCTGTTGACGAATTACGCGGCAAATCGCAAAAACAATTAAAATATTATACTTAAAGCGAAATTGATTTATAAATTTGTACCGATTGATGAAGTTAATGAAATACTCTGCTGCTTTAGTGGTTATCTCATCATTTACATCTACGGGTTTCCATTTAAGACAGGCACACCAATGCGGCTCGATACCAGCGTCTTGGCACGTTCTACCCAATGGTATCTGTAAGTTTTTATATTGTAAATCAAAAAATAACTGTGTATTATGAATTTTAAGAATGCAAATATTGATAAAAAACCTAGTAATGTGCTTAAAATTGTATTTTAAGTAAAAGGGTGATACGGTAAAAGGTAATTACGATTAGGATTGATCGTCAGTCTATAGTAATAATCATAAAAATAATAGAGCTTGCATAATTTTAAGTTGAAATATATGTAAACTTTTTATCGATAGAAGGGCATAAAGGGTGAAAATATATTGTGGGTCCAAGCTTAAAACATGAAAAATATTGGTAAAACTATAAAATAAAAAAATTAATAAACATCATTATTAAAAAGACACTACCGTTTTAAGTTTACATCAAAGCTAAAAAATAATGGATGACCAGTGATTAAACACTTTTTTAGGGTTAAGCTAGGTTGTATCAACAAACTTTTAATTTTAGATATTCCCTAATTAATCATGAACACGAGCAACTGTTTGATGTACACAGAACCACTATGATCCATCACATAGACAAGTATTTCAATTTGAACATTCCAACTATTTGCTTTTTTGAATTAAAATCACAACCCTAGTTTTAATATGAGACATCCTAAACATAAGTGCAGCTCCTCAAGTGAGTAAAAACGGTTTGTTGCTTTACAAAATTATTACATACTTCATCAAACAGAGAAATAGAACGCTTATTTCGATCATTAGCCTGCAGTCCATTCTTGTGTAAAACGCTAATTAATGTAGAGTATATATCAAATGGTGACGTCAACCGCCGAGTATTGTTTCGCATATTGCCCGCCATTTTTGGGTAAACGCGATCAAACCACTTTGGCAGTACAAATGAAAAGAAAGGCATACGTTCTTCTAGTTTACCTTGTTGCGTGTCACGCACAGACGCAAATCTGTGCGCACAAAACCAAATAATATATTTTTACACCAACAGAAATATAATATTGAATTAACGATTCGAATGTCACCTTTGCCCGTGATCGCTCATAAACACCAACATGGTATTGTTTAAATAACCAGACGTTTGAAACCACTCCAACCAATCAATTAAATCTTGTTCGGCCACTTCGACTTTGTTAGCATGATCATGAGTTAGTTCACCGTGGAACGCGAACATAAATTTCGGTTTGTCTTCGTACACCCGAAACATGTCTTTTACATAATTAAGCATGATCTAGAACTCAAAATATTAAATTATTAACATTGAAACAATTGCAATTAGGCGTGACATTGCTGAGTACAATAAGACCTGGTGTCTAGGTGTTGAACCATAACAAAATGGCTTTTGCATTTTAAAAGTAGGCGTTGCATCCACGTAATATGTTCGCATGTAGTGATCGGTGGGTTGTTCGTTAAATCCTTTGAGTCTATATGTAAATACTCCCACATCCACTTCGTCTTCAGCATAACCTGATAATATTCCAATTTCATAGTGAACGATAAACGACATAGCAGTCGTTGAGAAATACGCTGTGTATACACTGTTCGCTGATTTTCATGTAAAGGTATACATAAAAAAGTGCGAGGTGGGTGCGTACAGAGTATTTCTACGGCTAGACCACTGATTATAGTATAAGAAAATATAACCTGTGACATATCCGTATTTTTTGAACAGATTCCATACAAAAGGATATACATTAACGTGGGTGGCTTTATCCTCCATACGCTTTCTTGTATCCGGCAGTTCTAATTCAGTTTTCCCTGTAAAAATAATTTGCACAATTAAAAGAAAATTGAGTTGGAGCTTGAGATAAATCTGAAGCTAGAGTTGGAGCTTCGGAGGTGAAGATAAAGTTGGAAACTAAGATAGAGTTGGAGATGGAGCTTGAGATAACAGCTTGCGTACGAGTCCGCAACCACGGGAGACATTTTATGTTTTTTTAATTATATATAAGGATATAAGGAGATAGAAGGACATATAAGGATATAAGGATATAGGAGGATATAATAAGGATACATTTTCGTTAGGTTTTTTGGTAATGCTTTTTCCGGTTGTGTGCCAAAGTAAAGACATAAAATGTCAAAAAGTAATAAACTTGTATTTATTAAGGTTATACCCGTAAGTATAGGTATCAATGCTTGTGGAGTTCCGTCGCCGACAATATTATAACCTTCTAACACATAAGCGCCCATGGACTTCAGTTTAGCGTAAATCTTTGGAAGTTTTCTTTGGACCATCATATGAGACACTGAATCAAGGCCAATAATTAAAACGTTTAAACGTAGGCCATCTTCGGGTACATGATCCCATCCCGTTCGTTCCATAACATCGTCATCCAAACGAATTCCTGCCATTCTGCTCTCCCAACTGGAAAATATTACCTATATATTAATTGAAAACTATTATTTTCTAAGCATCAAACAAAATAATTATGTCGTCAAATTTTAGAGGTAAAACTATTTGTTTCTTAACTTATTTTTTTTACTCTGAAATTAAAAATAGAAGGAACAATTAGGTCCATTTATTGAATAGCTTAAGGAATGAATAGATTTTATTAGATTTGGAATTAATGCTAAAGATAATCAAATAGGCATTTGTTCCAAATTTAATTCCGAATACCTAATTGGCAAATGTATCTAAATATAGCTAATTTAAAACTTTGCATACTATCATACGACAATAACTACTTTGATTATAACAAAACAAGATACAATAATTGTGTTTGTCACCTCGTTTTCCCATTTCCTGATTTGCAATGTACTCTAAAAAAATCTGTGGCTTTCAAATTATACTCAGTATGGGTAGATGTTATAACACCCGTTGACGTAGCGAATTCATTGGATCGCAAAACATCTAAAACAAATTTTTTATTTATTCGAGCGATAAGAAATATAAAAGCAAAAACGATAAATATTAGAAAATCATACCAGAAAACTCGCACTGAACATCGCCATGTTTTTTTCGCGCTTTTTCAGTGATACGTGCAACACTGCCCTTTACAACAACCCAATCTTCTTCTGAATCACACACCAATGGAGGCTCTGGTTTGATAAAACTCATCATTATCGGATCGAATGGATCCAAATTAGGTAGCTTGCACGCTATGTTGTTTTCATATTTAGCGCTTCTAAGTATCAAAAAAAATATATATTTTTAGAAAGATCCATAATGTACATATACAAGTAGGAAATATTAGTAAACGTGGAGCATATTGCACATACTATTATTGTTGCTGTGTATTTTACCCGATAGAAGTGTTTATTGTCGGCATTGGCCATAGAGATCCGCTTTGACCGCAGACCATTTGGCATGCTCCTAGTGACCCGTTTAAACGAACCTTGTCGTTTTCGGTTATTCGGAATTTCTTCAAGACACATATGCCGTTCACACATTCATACGACCTACTGGAAAATCGTCAGGGAAATTGATCATTAATAAATAGTCTTCGCTGGCGAACACCCTTCAATCAATTGCTATTGCGAGTAACGTACCCGATGTTTGGCCATTTGGTTTTATTATCTACATTCCAGTTCACGGATAATTTGAACACAAGTACACCGACAACGATTAAAGCGATGATAGCCATCGTCAAGAAAACTATAATCGAGCGTGCCATCGTTTATTAGGACTCTGTACGAATTAAATGAGTTAAAGTTAATTAATCAAATTAAATCAAAATAAAATATAATGAATTACATTAAAAAAAAATGCGCTCTAAAATTTTATTGTTGGTCGAAGGTGGTCACCTCATCGTTAACACTGTTTTTATTTACAGTATAAAAAAACAATGATAATATTGTATATTTTGTAAGTTATGTAATTTTTTTAATCGCAAAACTTAATTACATATTTTTTGTATGCTTTAATGATACGTTGCCAAACGCTAAGTTCATTTCAAAAGAACCTTCAAACTTATAAAGCTAACAATAAATTACTTATGCGTTGAATGAATATACAGTTTAAATAAATACACAAATCAATCAATTACAAATTTATTTATTAAGCTTGTTGTTTAAATTAAAATAGTTACTGTCGTCCGGTTCTTGAATCTTCCTTCGAGCTTACAATGTAATTAAAACTGAATGTAAAAAGTTATAACGGGTAAACTGTTTGTCTGTATTGAAAATATATATAAATATATTTTCTAGTACCTAATAAACTGATTGGCGAAAAAACTACTACAACACAATAAAACAAATGTCGTAAAATCATGCTCTATCCAATTATTGTTTGACAGACGAAAAAAAATTCAATTCTTCAATTCTATCAACTAAGAACTTAAAAGTGTCCCAGGCCATATTATTGTTGGTGAAAAAAATATTAAATATTAATTGTAACATTTTTTATAGGTAGTTTATTTTACATTTAATTTATTTTGCATAAATCTATATAACTTATAAATAGTGATATTAACGAAGCATATTGGGATCGGTGAAGTAACCTTTTCCCCGTTTGTATAACAAATAACTTTCAAATAAACCCCTGATTCGAATCGGCAAATGGTAGGATAATAATTTAAGGTTAGGGTACCTACCTGGGTAGGTTAGTTTTAGTATTTGGGTTAATTTAGAGTTGATCCTCTGCCTTTCCATGTTATACCTAGGTATAAGTATTATTACTTGTTATTGAAATATGTTATACTTACTTTGTTTGCTAGTCACTTAGTAAACGATGTGTTTTAAAATCATTTACGCGTTCAACTCTATGAGTATATGTAGTGTACTGGTGCAATTCGCCTTTAAGTATAGTAAAAAAAAAACAGCAGGTTTCACATCAGCCATGAATATAATGCACTCGACGACTAGTCCGAAATTGCAGTTGCACTAGTCGGTTCATTGTAGCTGTCGGGAATATCGTGTACTATAATATTACTAATCGTGTTGTACACATTAGAAATACCTGTTACATGTGCAGTGTGTTTACAGTAGGCTTACCTATTACTCATTATTATTATTATTGTTATATTGTATATGAGTGGTATTAGTAAGAATATGATATTACATTGGCTTTATTAATTATTAGCAAGACTCGACCCGCAAGCACGGTTCTTGTTCCTAGACTAACGGGCTGCCGGGTCATGATATCAAATATCCGTCGTCTGACTAATTAGTTAGTATTATTTATATATTGTATGGCATATTGTAAAACTCACACCCACACAAACACGTTGATGATGATCATTAAGAGTTTGGCGAGAAAAAATTGAGAGATAACAAATTCTTCGGTGTCCTTGTATACGAACTGGCGAGTGCTGTGAGAGGAGGGATGGAGAATATATCTCCCCTTTAGGATCAGCTGACACTCGCGATAATATTGTAGCAATGACAAGTTATTGTATAGTTTTTAAATCTTATAAGACAATTTTATTGGAACATGTGCACGTTTGCAAGGTAATCAAATACTAAAAAACACTATTTAATGAAAAAAATTAATAGGAACTTTTGTTTTTTTTTTTTTTAAACGTATATTTGAATTATAACAGTTAAATAATAATAATCATAAAATGGAATTTCAAACCTGTTATGACCATTTTACAATTTCAAAAACATATTAATTAACGAATAACTGTTGTGGCTATGTTGGCGAATCAGATGTTTCGAGTTCTGTATGGATTAGATTTTCACCCGTGCTGTACATCAAACGGGTGGTTTTCGTATCCGAATGATACTTAAACCCTAAAGCGAACTGGTCGAACTCGTTTACACCATCGTCGACGATTGTGCTAACCAGGCGTTTTATATCATCCACCATGCCCAGGGGCGGAAATTTTCCGTTCATGTCCCGTACGGCTTCCGTAGCTTTGGAAATGCCATGGTTCTTTTCTGCATACGACGTCGGTAAACAACAATTTGTATAAAACTCACCCAAGAGTCGTATGACAATTTCCATATTTTTTTTGGTAGAATTAATTACCTCGTCGTGGTATCCTTTGTCGAGCGATTCTCTGTCGAAATTCAAGTTATCGCAGCGACCCTTGAAATCATCCAAGGCGTTGGGCACGTCCTGGTCGAACTCTTTCGGGGATAGCTGGTGAATAGCGGATAGGGTACCTAGAATGCGCTCCACCAGTTCATAAATTTTTCTGATTATGTCCACACACATGCCTACACATTTCAACGATTCGGAGGGAACGTGAATATTGTTACACTGGTCGAATGCGCCAAAGCTGTAATCGTACAACACTTTTAGATTGTTGGCATACCGACAGCTTAAAAACTGATATGCTTGGCGAATTTTATACTTCACGTTACGGTCAGTGACTATTTCGCCACCCGCATCGTTTGCTAGTAAATCATACACGGTAAAACATCTTTGCTCCTCTCCCATCCATCGCACGATTATTTTAAAATCTTCGAAGTACTTCAAGGCCGGCCAACCGGGCTGAGAGAAAACATAGTTCATAATATCAACGCGCAATGACGGATCCATTTCTGCTGTAACAGCGTTCACATAATACATTAACAAATAACAAATATAACGTTCAGCTTTCATTGTTACACGATGGTCAAAGCGCTCGCAAAATACGGGATCGATTCGAAAACCTTTTCAGACAAAATATGTATACCGATGTTTGTTAAAGTTGAGCATAAGAAAATAGACGCGTATACAATTCTTACTGGGCAAATCTAAAAACTTAAAATCCTGTTTATGGCAAAAAACGGCGATAAACATAGTTGAAATACATTTTTTTAAACATGAAACCGGGGTCGCTGTAAACGAATATATTTATTCAGGTGTTGCTTTATAATCGAAATGAAAAAACACAAAACCGTAAATTGTATCTATGTATTGTATATTGTAGCTTAATATTGTATCTATTTTATCTGATTTTTACCAATTCCTTTGAAGGGCAGGGTAAAAGTTTAAATAGTTCACTTCTTCATTCTCAAAAATTTTAAGACAACAAAAACCATACCGAATCGAGTTTTATAAGAAATATTTGTTCGGTATGTTCCAATACGTCAATAGTCTCAAATTTAAATTATACCCATTTCCATTTTAGAGGATAAAAACACAGAAAAACTCATGACAAAGCATTATTACAGTCACTAATGCGTTGATCGAGCTTATTCACAAATCGAAACCAATAATGAGTGAAAATAAATTACAAAAACAATGGCTTGGGGAATTCGCGACCATCCGCCAAGCAAACAGATATAATATTTTATTCTTGTTGAATTGAGACAACAATATTCTACAGTAATAGCATTATACAGTCAATTGTAAAAAATATTTACTAGGGACAGTCAAAATATATTTAAATTTACAAAAATATAACGTCGATAACATTTTAAAAAACCATTACAGTAGGGTCTCGACCCTAATAGGATCAAAGCATAGCGGGACAGAGAAGTCACAGGTCTATAGGAATTATTATTAATAAAGCCACATTAAACGCTTTGATGCTAATTTGTAAACACTGCACCTCACTTTAATACTTTCTTACTGTGCTGGGTCATACTTAGTGTGTGTATAATTAGGATCTTAGGATTCATGCATTTGATTATTATGTCTGCTCTCTGTGAATAAGTTTTGGATAACGTTTAACGGCTTTGAAATTAAATAATTTAATATAATCGGTATGCCATTGTTTATTATATGTTATTATATTTGTAAAACGAGCCCAAAAACGTTCATAAATTTTTTAATTTTTTATTAAGGTTATCTTACAGAGATAATGGATCGTATGTAATATGTATGTTCCTGTTATGATAAAATTATCAATTGTTATTATTCGACAAAAGCCAATCCGTTAACTCTAAAAATTAACTGAATAAGGATTTTATTAAGTCGGTTATTGTAAAAATCAAACTATTATTATACAAAACCAAATAATAGATTCAATAATAAATTCGCCATGTACAAACGTAGAGGCTAAAGGGGTTAAATACAAATCGAAAAAATTAGGGAAATATTTGTTCAACTTTTGCAGCCTAACGGGGACCACCCTAGTGCACATTCTAAGGGACAATAGTTTTTGAAAACTGAGCAATTTTTGCGGTGTTAGAATTGGAAAAATATAAATAGATGAACTCAGTTTAGTACGAACTGCGGAACGTTCTAAAAAATACTAACCCCGTACATTTTTTTAGAACGGCAAAATTACCTTTTTGCCAGTGGTTGCCGGTGAATGAGTGGCAATCATGCTAGTGGGTGGAGGCCTGTTTTCGCAAAACCATGTTACCTAAAGCCGCTCGGGTGTATACACACACATAATATGAAGGACTTGGGTACAACCTATTGGCTGCCAATACCTAATTATAAAAAGCCACCGAGCAGTAGTCGAACGTCGACGGTCGAGACCAAAGTCAAAGTCGATTTTCACACCAAAATGCATCTCAACAGTTTTCTGGAACTCCTGCCATCGTTACTGTGCTTGCTGACCATCACGGGCATTTCGGGTGCGATACTAGGGGTGAGTGAAATATATTTGCTGGAGAGTCAAAATAATAAACACATTTAATCAACAAATATTTCTATTTGTTAAAATAATTTTCAAACAAAATAGCGACAGGCTACAATCGTAGTTCATCGACCAAATTATTCTTTGGACTACCGACAAATGTATGCAAAGGCAAACCAAACTGTGCTAGTATTTCCTATAAAGTTGTTATTGCTTAGCATTAAATATTATAATAGTAACATTTTTACTATGCTTAGGAGTACATAAAAAATATAAACAAATAATAATATTACAATATTTAGTAGTTTTTTTTTTAATACTAAAGAAAAAATGATATTAAAAATCAATAAATCCTACTTATCGTCTCATACTGTGTTTTAGTAATTTTAATATTTTAATAAATAACTTAATTCTTATTCGGCGTTAAGCCTTTTTAATAAATAATATTGTACGTTGCAATTTGAGAGTTTAGTCAATTCACATAAAGGTACGACTGGCCCTTTTGCTCTTCGGGCGGTTATATAAATATATAAAGAGTCTCTTGGGATATTTTAGGGTAGATACAGGATAGCTTCCTGTCCCGGCTAGGGTCCCTTAATTTAACCATAGAAGGCGGACAGTCGTGGGTGTGATCAACCTACCACACTGGTAAATATAATAAGCTAAGTCATAACAAACGAACAGATTGATTAAAGTTAAACATTCAAACGATAATATTGTAGCTTCGATGGGGAGCTAAGAAGATATTTTTTTACAATAATGTGTTTTAATTTTTGTGTCTGGACCGAAAACACATCTTTGCTAAACCGCTAAATCGAATCCTTGAAATAGTAAATTTGTAGATCAGCCAACATTTGAAAAAGTTTACCCCTTTCCTGCAAAGTCAAGAAAAACACTCAACAGATTTACATATTTTTCAAAGTAAAATTACGGTGCGCTCTTTTAACTCTTTTTTATTAACTTAAGTGTTTAATTAAATCGCTTAAATCAAGAATAATTTACTGAAAACCAAGATAGGTTGATAATCAGTTTTAAATAATTAATCTTAGAGCTATTAAAGTCTCCAGCTTAGAGCGGATCCAAAATAATTTAAATCTACTTTTTTAGAAATAGTTTTTTTGTATACAATTAAGCAATTTTTTTTTTGTATTCGACTTTCAAACAATTAAATATGTTTACACAGTCAATTTTCTATTGAGCTGAAGAAAATTATTTCAGAAGCTAATAAAAAAAAAGAAGATTTATTTCATAAACACAACCATTTTAATGGTTTGCACATTTTTTCACTTTGTAACTACCTACCAACTAGCTCGTTTGTTTATGAAAACAGTGAAATAAAATAAATAGTCTAAGAAAAATTAAACTAATTATATTATTATTATAACTATTTATTACTATAATTAAACTATGATTAATTTTCGTCTGATTTATCAAACTACATTTCTTCAATCTATTGCCAGTTAATAAACTTAATGATTTATGTCCTTGTTAAAATTAGTCTGTTATTTTATGGTTAAGGGTTTAAATATGAATTTCTTTATTATATACATATATAACATTAATAACCATAAGTAGCTAAATTTTTTTCTATATTATATTGAGATTAGGCTAGATGTTAATGTATTGCACGTGATATTGGATTTACACCCTTGGGTGCCTATTACAATTTATTATTACTAGAAAACCGTTTTGAATAGGCCGTTCAGAAATCAACACCGATAATTTTATTAAATTTCAGATGGTGTTTATGGCATAATTGTATTGAATAACAATGAAACGTAGTATACTCCATATCTGTTTACATATATTTTTCTACAAGTACCGTAATCGCATATTGTATTTTACAAATCTATAATTTATTAAGCAGCTTGATTGTTGGGAATACGAGGCAAAGGTGTTCTTGTAAAACATAATTAATATATGGTTAAGTATATGGATACTTAAATAATTGTCGATAAAACATAACACAATGTAATGTGTAGGATATATTAGTTAAGTACACATTATAGCACAATCTTTAAAATTTATTAATACAACTAATAACTTGTCATCGGTAAATATTTTTTAAGTAGAGTTTTATTACATTTACTTACATGCTTTCGGTGATAGTCCAAACAAATATAGATTTTACTGAAAATAATTAGTTATTTATTTTATTCGTAAACGCCCGAAAGCTTAGAGTATCAGTAAAAATAAATCATTTTACTGTGCTGCTGAATAGTTCATAAAATTGTCTCTAAAGCCTAGAATTAATTGGTACAAGAATATTGAGTCACTGTAGTAAGCGTGGAGCATTAACATGACCACTTAATTATCTATTTAAAATAAGTTTATATGAAGCCTTGCGTCGTTGGTCTTGCTTGAATACTTGATTTACAGGATTAGAACCTAGTACCGATTGGCGATATTGAAGGCATAGCCAGCAAAGCTAAGAAACACGGTTTATATCTTATTAACTCGTCGTTTATCAACTGCAATGTAAGGCGACCAGATAATTACTTAAATTTTATGTTATTTTATGCAATATTGTTTGATAACCACCCTGAATGCACGTTTGCTTTCAGGGTTGTTAGGGTTGTATGATAGTCATATAAGTTTTCTATCTAGGTATTTTTTCTATGTATTTACTTGGTCGGCTATTTTAATCATATACATCTACGTCATTCAATATGCTCATTTTAAATTAATAAAACACAAAAACTGAGTGTGACCATTATAGATCATCGGGTCTTTGTTAAATTCCAGTCAACTAAGCCAACATTCACGGTTGATTATAAGAAAAATGAGTTTCTTATGGATGGTAAAGTTTTCCGATATGTCTCGGGATCGTTGCACTATTTTCGAGTTCCAAAACCATTTTGGAAAGATAGGATACAAAAAATGAAAGCTGCCGGTTTAAACGCTATATCAACGTGAGTAATAGACTTATATGTATAAACTTCTAGCGTAGTTTCAAAATTATAAAACAAAATTATTTTTTAACTTATAAACGAGTTAGATATTTCAGTTTAAATCATAAACTTAAGTTTTAAGTATCTAATTAATTTACTAATGTGATCATATAAAGTTAATTTTTAAATTTAATTTCTCAGAGGAAAATACATTTTTTTAAAAAATAAAACGTTATAACTGACAAAAATATAAGCTTTACTTCCTTTTTCAAATTAAGCTGTCTAAAGTTAGTCAGTTAGTACTAATTTAAAATGAGTTAAAAAAAAAATACTAATTCCAAATTATTTAATTAAAATACTCTTGAAATACATTAATGAGGTTTTCGGTAAACTGTTGATTTGTCTTTCCTAGCTACGTCGAATGGAGTCTACACGAACCATACCCTGGGCAGTACAACTTTGAGGACATAGCTGATTTAGAATATTTTATCCAGCTAATTCAGGATGAAGGAATGTACATATTACTAAGGCCGGGACCATATATTTGTGCCGAAAGAGATTTTGTAAGTTCACATTAACATTTTAAAGTGAACCAATTGCATTTCTGTGGAGTTTGGGCGAAACGGCGAAAGAAGTTGAAATTACTTTTTGGGGTTGAATACAAATTTTTCAAAAAATATGATTTTTACGTTTCGGTACAAGAATTTAGTGTATTTGAAAAATTAAACACCGTTCAATTGTTGATGAATGATAATATTAAACGCTAAAAACTCATCTTCTGCCGAATCGCAACAGGCTTAATTTGTTTTTATTAATTTCTTTGTAGGGCGGTTTTCCATATTGGTTGTTGAACGTGGTGCCCGAAAAAAGACTACGAACCAACGAACCCAGTGAGTGTTAGCCGTTAAGTAAATCACGCTAGATCCTTTTGTTTTATTTAATGCTATCGGCATCAGTAATATACGAGTTTTTTTTAAGCCAGTGGTGTTTTTCATAGTTAAGGATTAAAGCTGCGATAGTGCATTTACATAGGTTGAGGTTTTTAGATTTTAAAAAATATGTTACCCGATGGTTCAGCGTGCTGATGCCAAAAATGCAACCTTACTTATACGGAAACGGCGGGAAAATCATAATGGTTCAGGTGAGAGGGCTAAGTTAATCGGTAAGTTTGTGTCATAATTAGATATGAAAAATGTTACACTGCCCACCTAGGTGGAAAACGAGTACGGTAGCTATCATGCTTGCGATAAAGCGTACATGATTTGGTTAAGAGATTTGTACAAAAGCTATGTCGGCCACAAAGCTCTGCTCTACACGACCGACGGTTGCGGTTATGCTTTTTTCAAATGCGGTGCCATTCCAGAGGTCTACGCGACCGTAGATTTCGGTTCAAACTGCAGTGGTAGGTGGATCATTGATCATGATAACAATATACCATTAACCACAACCATTTGGCCGCAATAATTCGTTAATCCCGAAACTCTTTTAGCCGGTGTGTGTTTTCAATACATGAGAAAGACGCAGCCGAGGGGCCCGCTGGTGAATTCCGAATTTTATCCCGGATGGTTGTCTCACTGGGGCGAGAGAAGTCCTCGAGTGCCGTCCAACAGCATTGTGAAAACCATGAAGAATATGCTGGCCCTAAACGCTTCTTTCAACTTTTACATGTTTCACGGAGGAACTAATTTCGGTTTCAAATCGGGCGCCAACATGAAAAGTAATACACCACAACATGGTTTTCAGCCTCAGTTGACCTCGTACGACTACGATGCGCCGTTAAACGAAGCCGGAGATCCGACGGAAAAATATTTTAAGATCAAGCAGGCTCTTAAAGAAGCCGTAAGTGATTGTGTAGGTTAACTGTTGTCTTAACGATACTCATAAGTCATTTGGCGGTTCTGCAGAATCGCCAGGTGTCCCACCAAATTTCACCGGTGCCCACTCCTAAAGGCGACTACGGTAAGGTGACACTCAAGCCTTTGGCAAGTTTCTTTGAGCAAATCACACAACGCGTCAAACCCGTCACCAACGACGTACCGTTGGCGTTCGAAGACCTAGGTGTAAACACAGGATTTGTAATGTACGAGACCAATCTAACGGACATACAAAAAAGCTTCATCGGCGTCGTTAAGCTCAACATAAAAACTGTCAGAGACCGAGCAATAGTTTACTTAGATCAGGCAAGGAAAATAAAATGACTAAAAAAAAAAAAACAATCTATAAAAAATGTGATTATTTTTTTTATTAGAAACAACAAGGTACAATGTACCGAGCTATGGGAAACTACACAATGGCATTAAACATCAGTCGCACAGTTAAGAAGTTAAGTATTCTGGTCGAAAATCTAGGTCGAGTAAACTATGGCCGGTTTCTCGATGATAAAAAGGTATATCAAAAATCTTATTCTTCTTCGACAATATTTTCTTCTGATTCTCGACCATCTCAACTATTCTCTAAACTCACTTAGTTGATTTTCTAATAATGTGCTGAAATAAGATTAACCTGTTCGAGAAATCTAGTAAGTAATTCACTATTGACGTATTTCAGGGAATATTCGACCCCATTAAATTAGACAATAAGACATTGGGTCCGTGGAAAATGATTCCACATCCTCTGAACGAGACTTCTTGGATTCCACCCATTAAACCCAAACAGAGCGTCCATTTACCGGCTTACTTCAAAACGGAATTCGTTCTACCGGCAAATAGCACCAAGTGTCTTGATACGTTCTTGGACCCTTCGGGTTGGACTAAAGTGAGCCCAAGCAGTAAAGCGTTTAATTTGAATGGCGGTAACATTACTTACGTTTACTTCCACAGGGCGTAGCGTTCCTGAACGGCATAAATCTGGGTCGATATTGGCCGGCAAACGGACCTCAAGTCACTCTATACGTGCCAAGCATTTTTTTAGTGCCACCGCCGGCAATCAATACGCTTATAATGATGGAGCTCGAAAGCGTCCCAAAAGATTTGTCCGTTAAACTGGTCAACAAACCAGTAACAAAGTATTAGACGTGCTATTATAATTTAAAACATTTATTTTATTATACCAGAAAAAAACTTCAGCAGCACATGTGGTAATATTATGTCCAATTTTTTTAAATCTTATTTTGTGGAAATTGCATAAACTTTACAATTTACTAACTATAAATACACGGCCCGTTAATGTCTATTTTTTGTTGTATATATTAAGAATGATTCAAGTATGCAAAGTAAAGTACGAAGGGGAAGACTCAGAAGAATTTGGTGTAGGGATAGGCTTAAGACAGGGAGATGCCTTGTCACCAGCTCTTTTTAATATAGCGCTAGAATCAGTTATGAGAGAGACCTTGGATGGAGCATTGGGAATCAAAATGAGAAATGACCAGCAACTGGTACTGCCAGGATATGCAGATGATGTTATAATAATGGCGGAGAGTGAAGAAGATCTAAAGAGAACTACTAGCAAATTGATAGCAGAAGGGGAAAACATTGGATTAATGGTAAATGAGGGGAAAACAAAATACATGATGGTCTCGAGACACAATCGTAACACAAGACAGTGGGAAGTGAAAAATTATAATTTTGAAAGGGTGGCCAATTTCAAATACTTAGGGGTAAACATCAACGAAAACGCTGACAGCCACATTAGTAGCAGCAAATAAATGCTACTTTGGACTAATACCCCTATTCGAGTAACCTAAACGGTTACCTAACCGTGGCACAAGTAAGCTAAAAACAACTGTTATGGTGATAACCCATAATATTTGTCGATAACAGATATTACAGCTCTATGGTCTTTAATCTAGTAATCATTTCCCCCCCCCCCACTATCTATACTCAACATTTAACAAGTAATAACACAGTAGGGTCATTCCATGCCAAATCACCTGATGTGTGTGCGAGTGGATTTTCTAAATGCCTCAAACTTAGATAGAAAAAGTTTACTAAGTAGAATATTTGATTTGGAAAAATAAATTTACTATAATTATTTTTTCTTTGATTTTTTCTCGTTAAAATTAAACGTTACGTTAGAATTAGCTGGCATTATTGTCTTTTTTGACTTCTGACTGTTTGCGACAAAATTCGAGGACGGCGCTGGCGGCAGATTAGTCATTATTGGTGACCTAAACTGTCCTATTTCGTGCATGCCATTTATCGAATTCAACATGAACAAGTTAAATTTCTCTTCGCTCTTCGTGAATTTCGGCATAGGGTCTTGACATTTCTCTTTAAACCCAGTGGATTTCAGCTCGTAATAACTCTGCTTGTACTTGATCGCTATAGTTTGACCGTTTAGGTCAGCGCCCACTATTTTCCAATCGTCGTCGTTGGTCTCATTGTTGCCTCTCGCAGCAGTGGGTTGTGGGTTGTTAACGTTTGGACACCTTTTACACGGATCAGCTGTTGTCAAATATTGTTTTTCCGGGTTACCAGACGTGTCGAATTCGTTTGCAATGGACATTTCAAACACAGACATTCGCATGAAGACGTCCATATCGACCACGGGGTCATCATGGTCGTCGTTGAGAACAATGCTGGCCTTAGTCTAAAAACATTAACGTTTCTTTAACGAACGTGTCGTATAGAGATGTTTATTAAAACATGATTGTGTCGAACAATACCGCTTTACTTGCGAAGCTTTTCAAATAATAAATACGGCTAACAAAAATAAGATTTTAAAATGGCAATTGCGTTACATGTGATTTGAGCTGTTTGGAATCGCAGCTGTTCAACACTGCACCAAAAGTTTTGGCCAAGTCCATTTCAGTAGTCGCCAAAACTTTTCCCGATGCCACTTGAATCATCATGACTCTCATGATGAATTCTTGGGCAACTGCAGTAGCCAACTTTAGATCGAGACCGAACATGAACGAACGCCCATCGTTTAATTGCAAAGTATCCGACGACGGTCGGGTAAAGGGTTCGACTACTGTTTGATTGGCATAATGTAACATTTCTACCGCAACTGTAACCGAACCGGAAATGGTCGACTTTGGTGAAAATTTGATACTTTTTACTAAAAAGTCAAAAAAGAACAAACGCTGTCCTTTACACAGCATATTTAAGAGAACTTATTTAAATTTTTTAGTATAATAGTTATTGTTAACTAGAAAACCGAAATTTTAAACATTTGTATCTACACCCATCTGTGTTGAAATAAACAATAATCTTTAAATTTAGCCGGTTCATTAAAAAAATCACAAGCGTTCAGATATTATATAGCACTAACATTGTTTGTAGAAAAAAAACAAAAAACAAATACATTTATAAAAAAAAATTATGGTAATTTTAACGAAGAAAAAGTGGAAAATGTCGAATACGTGGAGGTAGAAGAAGAAGGAAATGACCAAAAACATCAATTATATATTACTGGATGTCTTGGACGACGATATCATTTGTGAACTCCCGTTGCCGAGATCTGGTTTAAGGACGACACAATAAGATTGTAATTAAATTACTATGGGTTTTCCCAATATTAAGATGTACAATTAAATCAATTCAACAAAGAGACAGTCAACAGGCAGTTCAACTAAAGATACGTTCAATTAATTTATAACATTAACATTAGTGTAATGATAAAATTAAGAGAAAACAGGAAACCAACATCGACAAACAGAGCTACACACAATCACTCCTCTCGTTTACCCCTTTTGATCTTTTATTTTTATTATAACGAGATATTGTCATGAGAATCACTATAAAAAAAAAAAACGACGTTATCGCTAACAACACACTGAGAATAACATTGACGATTACTTACAGGCAAATTAAAAATGTTGTGTTTTGTAAGTTTGAGAGAGGAATAGTATGAGAACATCTGATAATCTGAACCCGCCATTAATTGATCCATCGAACCTACTATTTTAATCTGTGTTTACAAAATAAATGCGTGCTTGCCGTTCGAGTGATGTGAAACTCGGGTAGAACAAATATAAATATAAAATTCTTATTAATACTCGTTTACAAAACAATAATGATGTTAAATATAATGAGTGGGTCATTTAACCACTCATTTTATTGTACTGGGAAACGTTAGTTACTCTGCACACTGCTCGTGTAGAAGGTATATATAATTTGAAAAATGTATCCTCTCAATTAGTAAGTGTAGTAAACGAGACCAGAGCACCGCCTTGAATCATCTGGAGCAGGTAGGATTGCATTGGAATCACAGATGAAGACAACCCTCATGTGTTATTTTATTTAAAGGTAAATTACAATATTACAAAGACTAAAGTAATACGTAATTATAATTAAATAAGTTATTTTCTTTAATGTAGAAAAAACTTAGGCAACACTTGCGGTTATATATTATAAAATAATTAAATATTTAAATTAACCATTAACCACAAAAATAATTCTCTATAGCATATATGTATTTAGGTTTTTTACTTCTACTGAAGTCTTTTAAAAAATATCTTAATATGCATACTTAAAATAATATATATAAGTTGCTGTTTGAGTTTCATGTAACCTCATTAAATTTTTTAATCGAAAAGGAACAAAATACAATAATATAAAATATTATTGTATGATAAAAACCAAAAAGGTTTTACATAAGTAATTTTTTCATAATTTTAGTATATCATATAAAACCAGGTGGCCCAAGAAATTTCTAAGACACTGTATGAATATTAGTATGATGTTAAAAAATTAATACAAACTAAAGTTCGAAAAAAAAATGTTGTTATCATTACAAAAATGTAATTTAAACATAATAAGTTAATGGCCGTTTGCTATTCCGTATTCGTACATAGAGAAAAGATTATTAAATATTATCAAACCATATTAAACCAAATTAAATACCACCCCTTAAATCAATCAAACAAATTATAAAAATTGCCAAATAACTTAAAGTAAGTTATTAGAAATCTATGTATGGTCACTAGCAAACTATTCAACATAGGTAACTTTAAACTGGTATTTTTAATTATAAACTTGGTAAGTTATTAGTATTCATACAGTTGTAAGAGGATTATTTTGGTAAATTACATACATTTTTTAAAGTAGATTATTGAAAAAAAAGAAAAATTTGAAATTGTGGGTAATTCCAATTAAAATAAACATTTTCAACAAAACTTAAAATACCTATGTAACGCTTGAAGTCATATAAAAGTACACTTGCATCTTACATAGTTCATTAAATAAAATAATTCACTAGTGTGTCTAGGTCCTCTAAAAAGTTTTTAAATCAATAAAATATAAATTAATCAGTACAGAATTAGTATTTTGAGAACGATAGAGAGCTCATTGTGATATGTTGCTCATTGTGACTGTAAATATTTGTTGAAATAGTTTTTGGTTGATAAAATTTAGGTCTGTACTATAGTATAAAATGTATATACAGGGTAGTTTTTTAAAAACACAATTGTGTGTATCTAAATAAAGTGATTCTCTTAAAGTGGTCCACTCAATATCCGGCGGGGGGAAGGTAAATGGGTGTAATTTAAATTTGAGACTTTTGTCGAATGGGAGCATACCAAATAAATATTTCTATAGTACTTCCTTAGTTCTTATATTGCTCTTTTCTAACCGAAAAATCACAGTGTGTGAATTCTCATAGGACGCCGTATGCCGTCCGTGCAGCTTTAAGTTAAAAAGGGCCACTCTCATTTTGTGGCCAAATTGAGAATTACACTATTCATCTTATAACTTTGTAACTATGTTGTTCAGCGCTGAATAGTCAATGTCACGTATTTTAACGTCCACGATTACATCTATTAAAGACAAACTTATGCTCCTAGATCTTATATACAATCCAGTTAACGTCATCCTCGTATAACTGCGTTGTTATTTTTTTTTGTTTTCTAGCAATTGAAAGCTGTTGAGTGACCGTAACCGGAACGAGGGTACTCGTTGTTTTCACATCCGGAAAATTGTGATATGTTGACAACGCCGATGTCACGTGGCAAATTACTGATCGTAGTGGCTATTATCTTTGTGCTGGCGTTATATATAAAACTCACTTACACCAATCAGAACCGAAGTTTGCCCGTCGTCACGTTTACCAGGGAATACATTCCAGTCACACCAACAGTACTCTTGAACGTCTCCGAAATCACATCCAAGGTCAGGAACACCTGTGTAATAAATTCTTAAGGACGTTACCCTAAAGAGACACACTGGTCGTCCTGTAGGTTTCCTGAAAGATTTATGACCGCGTTTTCCATGTTTTCATCTAACACACTCGACAAATATTTAATTACCTACATAGGTTCTAATCAAATCTATTATTGTAATTACTATATATGTTTTGCAATAGTAGTATGTTAATCACTTATTTATTTGTGTTGTGTTTATTATTCAAATACTAAACTTCCACTCGTACTACCTCTTATACTATATAATAGTGTATAATATTACAACAGGTTATTGGCCCAAAAACACAGTCAAAGGTAAACCAGACATCGAGGGTCGAGAATTTGAGGTACAGCCTATTTGATGATTATCAAGTAAGTGAATGCAAGTGATTAAACAGGACCTGACAAAGTGTGTATTAGATATATATTAATCAAAGATAAATAAAGTCGTTTATAAACTAGTAGGTCATTAGTCTAGTAGCACTTAATTAGTTGTTTAAGGGTACTGTTTAAGTACGTTGATTATTGATCACGGAAGAATCAATAACAAAGGTTACCAAGCTCGGTAATATTGAAGGCTGTTTGAAGGCACTTTGGAAATTTCAAATGAGGGTATATATAGTTAAACGGTCTTATTACAGGAGAGAATACAATACCAGTGTACACCAATATAGTACCAGTTAAACGATCCATGTAAACGAAATTTACACGGATCAATCATTGGGTTTTAATGACGACTCGGGTAAAATATGTAGACTACGGAAGTCTATGTGCGGATTCAAATAATCCCCACGAAATTGGAGTTTTATGTTTAGACATTTGCTAGAAAAATATAATCTTAAGCAAACTGACTCAGACCCATGTGTGTATATTAATCATGATAATAATGAAACGGTTATTTTAGCCATAATCGTCTTCAAACGCATTGGGTAAACACAGGCGCTTATTTCAAGTATAAAACAGAAATTTGAAATTACACAGGATAACTTCCTAGTGATGACAATAGAAAAACAAGATGATGGTTCATCAGGTCATGTTAATCTCGAACAATTACGTCATACGATAATACAGATAGCTGTTACTAGAACCAAGTAATTTTTATCGACAAGCAGTGGGCCAGCCATAAGACACATTGATATCAACTTCATTAGCACCATTTGAAAAAAATATAGGAAAAATATTATGTTCAAAGTATAAACACGTTTCGAGAAATGAGTGTCTTATCTTTCACGAATCACTTTGTTTATTATTTTTTCTCGTTCTTCTTTTTTACTTTTATGTAGTAAAATAAAACTAAATAATAAATCATTTCCTATACTGAAAACAAAATTGGTTTTCATTTATACATTTACTAATAATTCATAAGTAGATTATTTAGCTAACCTAACGTAGTTTAACCATTACACTATTATCGTAAATATAATTATAGCTATTTTTCCGTAAAAAAAGATAGTCAAATATAATGTTGGTAGTCTTACTTTCGGGGCCTATTCGACGTATACAAATAAAATGTCAAAAAGTATCATATTATTATAATAACATAACAACTATAATACTTAGTGCGATGTTTGCATGATGGTCCTCAACTAAATGTTCACCGTATTTTCCAGGATATTGATTATTTCAATGTGATTCCTAAACCCCTCGAGTTGTGCCCAGAAGTTCCGCCCGGACTGAGTAAGTATATACTTAGAACTATAACAGCTGTAAAAATACACGGTGGGATAGTATGCATTATTATTATAATAATTCACTAAAAAATGGATGTTTTATGTCTAATGGATGGGTTTATCGACGACAGCATAATATAAAATGTGTGCGTGAAAATTAGGGAAACTATTATCTAGTTTAGTGTTCAAGTTTGTAGCAGTGCATCCAAAAAAAAAAAATGGATTTTATCATTATTATTTATTTATTAAAACATAATTTATCCAATATAATTATTAATGCCAATCAGCTATTTAGAAGTATAGAATATATACAAATGTAACGTATATAACAATATACGGATGAACATTGGGAGGTAAACAATTTAGCCACTTAATCACCTGAAGCTGTTTCAGCCCCGAGAATAAAATATGTATTTTTAATGCATTATGTAGCTCTTAATGAAGATATGATATATGTTTTAGGCGAAACAGCACCGTTGATCATACCAACAATTGAAACTCTTGAAGGGGTCGGAAAAAATTTATCGTGGTTGGTAATTAGACATGGTGGCCATAACACACCAATAGATTGCATATCCCGGTACAAAATTGCTATAATTGTACCTTACAGAGACCGCTTGCAAAACTTGTGCACATTTTTGTTGAATATTCATCTATTTTTAACAAAACAGCAATTAGATTACACCATATTTGTTGTTGAACAATTTGGTAAGTAAATGCATTATTAATATATATGGGTGAAAATTCCAAGTACGAACAGACTTTAGTAAAAAAGTACCACGGTAATCATAATATCAAAATAGTGGAAATAATTATGTGTAAAAATAAGATGTTATTTTGTACATGTGGGTTTCAAAAAGTTCCATATAAAGTTGGTCTAAAAATAAATATTTTTTTTTTTAAAGTTTTGCTCATACCCCAGATACTCTCGAACCCCTTATTAGTTATTAATTATTGTTTTTTTTATAACAAAATAAGTAAGTTTAAAAAAATACATATTATTGGCTTACCCCAAGCCAGTATATTATAATATTTTATTTTATTTTATTTGATATTTATTGATGTCGCTATGAAATAAGAGCAAAACTTTTCAAACAAATTTTTATATAAACTAAGTACACCAAAATGTGCGTATCTGATTTGGAAAAGACAATAAATTATTTTTAATAAAAAAAATATCAACTCCGCAGTGTCGATTTCTTCAAAACAAACCAACTCTAACCTCTAACCCTTTCTAATATATTAAAAGATATTTAACTGTTGCCGTCTGACGATAATAACAGCATGCTTATTGAAAAGAATAGTCTAGAGTTCTAGTTACATCATTTCGAAATAACGTTTATTTGGTAGTACAATTCAATGCTGAGATATGCTTTTCGATTTTAACATTGTAATGCTAATATTAGAAATTAGCTATTAGTAACCTTTGTAAACAGTTGTTGTGTTTAGACCAAATTGACAATAATTCCTTACCTGTTTAGAGTAATATTTTTGTTTTAAAGTCAGATTTTATCATTTGGAAAACAGTAATAATATTATACCGTATTAATACTTGCTTAATATCGTAAGCTTTATACATAAAACTTACAAAAGAACCTATACTGAAATTTTATGAAAAAAAAAAAAATAATATATTGCAGATGGTAAATTGTTTAACCGAGGCATGCTGATGAACGTAGGATTTGTAGAAGCGTTGAAACTGAGTGAATTCGACTGTTTCTTTTTTCATGATGTCGATTTAATACCAGAGAATGAAAACAACATTTACAGTTGCCCCCAACAGCCTCGACATATGTCCGTTGCCGTTGACAAATTAGACTACAAGTAATCTATTTATAATATATAATTATATACATTATAAAAAATTGTCTGTAAATCAGAAAACCTAACTGAAAGGTCACGTTTGTTGAGTCGAAATTTTAGATAAATGTAGATAAAATTGAGCTTTGTTAAATTACTAGGGTCGAGTACATTTATTGTAATAGTATAAAATACTCAGCATAATATAATAATTAATATTACATACACATTATGCCTAAATCCACCTAATTATAACGACCTTCAAATATGAATAATTTGCGTTTTATCTTTATTAGCGTGTAAACCAATATAGTTAGGGAAACAATAGGCAAAAGTTTTCCAGTTTTTCTGGATTGACAGACTATATTTTGTAATCTAATTGACCTACTGAAATAATGAATTGAATGTAGTGAACAATTTAATATCTCATAGGGTTTAATAGGAAATTACTTTTTTTTTTCCATATTGTTTTTATACAATGTGATCTCAATTGTTCACAATTTGTTTGGCTTTATCCCCCTCCCGACTAAGTTTTTTTTTATAGCACCTTTAGAAACTCAAATGGTAAAGCATACAATATTTCATTGACTTTTTAAATTGAGAATAATGTAGGCACTAAAAACGTTGACTGGTTAATAACCAGTTATGGACAACTATTTTTAAAGTCATAAGTGTTTAAAAGTTATGATGGAAGGGGAAGTCCGCGCGGATAAAATTAAAACTACACTCTACCTTTCCTCCTGCCCTAAACTTGAATCTTCAATAACTTCAAAAACAGTTATCCGAAACAGGTTATCGGCCAGTCAAAATGTCTGGTACAGCATTCTCAAAATAACCAAGTTGGAAAGGGGTAAAAACAAAAATACATTGTGAAAAATTGAGATCAGATAATTTTGTAATAAATTATTAACGTAAGTCATGTTATACTGTTTGGGTTTGCGTTTTCAGATTGCCTCACGATAACATATTTGGAGGTGTGATTGGCATAAGTCGACATCATTTCCAGTTGGTGAACGGCTTCAGCAACAGGTTTTGGGGATGGGGCGGCGAAGACGATGACCTGGCGTCTCGGGTTAAATTCCACGATCTCCACATAACTAGATATCCCTCAAACATAGCCCGTTACCGTATGCTTAATCACGTCCAACAAGCAATTAACCCACACAGGTAAGTTTGGTTTACATTGGCAATGGTTTATGATATAATTAACTCCATTTTTTCCCCTCGAAATATTGCGAATAACAGCATGGTTGAAATGAAAAAAGTGTATAATTTTCAGTGGATAAATAACTCCATAGTTGAGTTTTTGGCAATTGTACTTACATACATTGTTTCAAATGACTTTAACTGCCTGTCCTGAAAAATGTCATTTTATGGAGTTAATCAGTTTGGCTTCTGAGCGCCTCATATATTATACAGGGTGATTCATTAAGGATAAGACATTCTTTTTTCCTGAGAAAAAATCTTATAGTTTTTCTTTTTTGAAAACATTTGTATATGATAACTACATTATTGCACATAATTATAAAATTACCAAATATTTACCATTTTTAGTAGTTTCCGTAGCACTAGTCACTTTTGAAACTAAAACGGTAATAATATATGTATTTAGTTAATTGTTTGAATAAATAATTATTTTCTGGAAATTTTAACTGGTCGTCAAACAGTTTAGGATAATTAATTCTAAAGTTATTAAACTTGAGTAGATTAAAAAGTAAGAATTATCGAAAAATTGACCAGTCAACATTTTCAGAAAATCTTTCTTAATTTAAAATTTGTATTAATTGTATGCGTTTATATTAAAGTTTGAAAAGTTGACAGTGATGTGAAAAAAATTAAAAAGGATAAAAATTTGGATATAGTGTTATTTGTTAAACAACACACTAGTCTAAAGTGTTTCCGAAATAAATTTATAAACCTAATATGATGTACACTACTTGTTGCTTTTGTCCCGATTAGTTTTATAGAATATCATTATTGAGGGTTAAAAATAAATCACTGAAAGTGTTAGTACTGAAATCATAAGCATTATTTTCTAAATATTTACATAACAATACTTAAGATTTAACTGGCAGGATTGAGGGGAGGGGTGTATTACATTACTACATGTACTACATTTAATCAGCTATAATCATGGGCTATTATGGAAACTTTGACCTTTTGTAATTTTGTTTTTTAGATTCGAATTACTACTCAGCGGACAAAAGTGGTTCAAAACGGACGGTCTTAATAGCCTAAAGTATCAAATAAAATCGGTTGAACGCCTGCCCTTGTATACACATGTTTTGGTGGACCTAACTAAAAGTTGATTAAAGATGTCAACCTCTTGGCTTTGTCTGTACCGGTAGATTAATATCTACTTTGTAAACAAATGTTATAATTTAAAAAAAAAACAACAAAATATAATCATAAAATAGATTTTATTAAATAAAATGTTGTTTAATACTGACAAACATTCATAAAATATAAAAAATGAAATATCTTCGCAAAATGAATTGTAATGTAGTTACAAATTTATTTTTAATAAAACAGTTATTTTAATTCAATGGTCGATTTTGATATTATTTTATCCAATTAACTTGGTCGAGTTTAAACGATGAATTAAATATATATTTAATAAAATGTTGCTTGTGTTGTTATTGCACACATTGAACCATTAGCGTGTTTCAAATACTGGATGATCAGAAAAATGTAGAAATACTATTATAATGTATATTTAAATTGTACAGGTTATCTATACGTCTTGACTACAAATATTCCTCATTTTTTGCATACATTCATGAAATTATTTTATTCATTTAGTAAGTAAAAGTATAATAACGTGCAACTTTTACAGACTTTCTATTCATCATCTTAATTCTTCACATAATCAAGATTTACACAGCCATTCTTATACAAATTTACTATGTTACCATTCATAATTACTAAAAATAAAAAATGATTACAAACGGTAAAATAATATTTGTTTAACTACAATATACTTTTAAAATGATAGTTAAAATCTAGAAATTACATTTTTTTTTTACTGTCATCTTCGACTAGTTTATTAGTGTGTTTATAAATAATATTTTTATAATTGTAAAGGATTTAAAAATTAATTAAATCCATTAGCTCGATGCAACAATGAAGCATAAATAAAAATAACGTTCAGAGATTAAATGTTGTTTGTGTTTTATTTCTTGAATTTTTATTTTATTATTGAAACATCATCTGACCAATTTTAAAATATCATAATTTTTGAAAAGAAAAAAATATACAATACATAAATTATTAGAATTAACAATGCATTCCATTTAAGAATAGTCATTAACCTTTGCAATTGGGTTTATTAAATATATTTAAAGACATAAATATTTAAACACTTAACGATAAATGAAAAAAAAAATATATAAGAATTGACTATAAACGAAATTTAATATACATAAAATATGTTCATCATCAACAAATGAATAGCAAATAGTCTTACAAACGTCAATAGCAAATACATTTACCTAACAACAATGCAAATTCCAACCTAGACAGCTAATACAATTAACGTAGTTAATAGCGTTTGAACATAAAACAATTTTTTTTTTATTATATAAACTTTTGCGAAATGCAATTTATAAATAACACTATTCGATTAAAAAATACAAAATAAAATATTAATACGAAATACTATTTACAGTCATTTACAAACCCATATTTATTTACAATTTTATACATTTTTTTTTTTGTAAATGATGTTTGTGCTGTTATTATAATAATTGTGAATTGGAAAATTGTATGTCAACAATATCAATTGGAACGAAAAGTATTATGGATAAGTTATTTATATCCATAACAATAATGTTTACTTAATAATTTTAACGAAAATAGGAACATTGCGCACCTAATTCTCTGTCCGATTGTACAACGAAAATTATTATCGCAATCGTCTTTAAGACGCTGCATACATTTTTCCGCTTAGGAAAAAAATACCTAATTTTTTAATTAAGTACAAAATAATAATGTCAACTTATGAGTCATTTTCTATGCGACATAGGAATATGCTTTTCTGTCTTCTGTAGACCTCGAAATGTATTCCCGTTCAATAAGTCCTTCGATTCTTTTTTTAATGATTATGGGCGAAGGTAAAAATCGACTTTTAAGTTGTTCCATCACTTCCATAACGAGTGCATTGTGCTAAAAATGAAATAAGAAAGGTTTTGTATAGTTAAACCATAATTTTGTAATATTGGTTTCGTTAACGGACGATCTACTTACGTTCATCTTTTTACGCGACTTCATTATACGAACTATGGCTGCTTCAATCTCGTGTTTACGGTCTTCGTCAACTTTGCTTCTGATTTCTTTTCTTTCGGGTTCGGTATCTCCTTTAGCCGCTACTGTTTGAATTTTCACTCTGAAATTCAAATATAATTCTAGTGAAATACTTTCAATGCAAATTTATACTTTTTATTAAAATACTAGTATTTTTACAACTAAAACTGTTATGACTTAATTGGTATTCAATGAGTATTATTACCTGTGTAATTTGGAGGTAAAAGAGTCATTGACACAAAATTCGTGATTCATTTCAATTTCTTTACACTTTGGACTCTTGAGAAGTATCCGTTGCGTCGGTTTTCCTAGCGCTAAAGATTGTAACGCCCTAATCAAGTCTTTTTCGGGAATATCAGTTTCACTTAGTATATCCTAAATCAGTCGCAAAACGAGTTTTGGTAAAATGAAATAGTCTGTAAACAAACATCAATCAAGCATACCTCAAAAGTGAATTTATCACGTGTGACAAACAACAGTAGAACACACATTTGGTACGTGGACACCTGAATTATGTGTTTTCGTTCTTTGGGTGGCGTTACAATATTGCTAGCCGTCGAGCTTATCTGTGAGGAAGACTCTGTATCGGGTCGTTTTAATCCGTAAAACACTGCGTTCAAATCGGCCGAACCCAATTGAGGTTGCAACGTCAGCTGTCGTCCGTTGTGCTTACCCAAGTAAAAACTGATAACAAAATATGTTTTTTTTAGTAACATATATTTCATTTTACAATAAACAACTTACTTTTGAAAATCTTCAAAAGCTAGCCTAGCAACTACAGGTATATTGCACTTTGACGTCGAATGAGTGGGCCAAAATCCCGTGGTCAATACTCGCACTGTAAGGTCTACTGAATTCAATTGATGCTATCAAATAAATGAATAAAAAAAAAATTATTAACAATGTAATTATTTATTTATAGGCAGCAAACTTACTTTATCCGATTTTGCTAAGTGTTCTTTAAACTCGTCCATAATTGTGTTCGATATAGACATGTCTTTGAACATTCCTTCTAATTTCGATGTAAATTGACAACCACACTCAGTCTGTAAAATAAATTTACATTATCAAAAACAAATAAAAGATTTTAAATAGAGCATTAAATCCGCAACCTATTTAGAAAATTATATATGTTATGATAAACTAAAAAAAAAAATCTATTTGTCTCATCGTTTAATATGAATTGAAATTATTTTGTAGTATTAATATATAAAGCAATTAAAATCTTACCTTGAGTTTTGAGATCATGTTTTTTTCATTGTCATTGCTAACAGATTTGTTTAAAAGCAATCTCTTAGCTAAATGCTGTTTGTAGTATCTCTCAAATACGTCCTTTTCTTGGAGAAAACGGAACATTACCAACGCTTTGTCTAATACTATTTCAATATCATTTTCACTCAACTGAAACATTTTGTTTTTTTTAATTAAATATTTTTATTTTTAGACCCAGGAATACATATTATAATTATTTTTTTTAACGCTGTTTGTACTCAGCATTCAGTGATATAAATTAAAAAGGTTAACAATGTTTTACAACTTACAATATTTTTCATCGTTCTTTTTTATATTCATTTTTGGTACAAACGATATTATTTTTTCTAACAATACAATCAATTGATGAAGAGTTTGTATAGGAAATGTATGGAAGTCGGAAGAAGAGTAATTTTTAATCAGGAATCACAAAGTGATTAGATAGCATAAATAAAATAAGACTTATTTACCCCACGAACTCCTTTTTTAAGTTTTTCATCAATAAACAATGAAAGGTATTCAGGCGATTTTGGATTCAAATTGAAGAAATGTTCAAAATCTGCAGCTATCATTTGTTTAAACAGTTTGTCGTTGTTAAACGAGTTAACCAAGAAATGATTAAATCTGTCCTTCAAATCCAACAAACTCTGTAAAAAAAAATATGTGTATGAAGTATATAGAAATGGTTTTTATTAGGCCATTGTTATCGAGTTTCCATAGTATATACCTGCATATAGTTAACAATATTTGTCGTACTAGCATCTTCTTCTTGTACTAATGATGTGCCAATTTCACGTAAATACTGACTGACGCATTCGGACATAATTTTTAAGCCACCAGGAACACGACTCAATAGTTTGTACATGCACGATAAGTCATCGTTTTTATCGTTTTTTAACATATTAACAACCCCGGTATTTTCCATCTGAAAATAAAATTTAATCATTAACAAATTGTCATACTTAAAATTTTACTTAATACAAGATTTAATTGTCTCTAATTATAGAATTTCATATTATAATATACATTCATACTTCGACAATAGTCTTCATATTTTTCTTCACTAATTCTTCTTCTATGACTTCAACAATTCTCGATTCAGTTGACTCGTCCAGATAATGTTTCGCTCTATCCGACTCTTCCATAATTCTCGATTCTACTTTACGTATGTAGATTGAAGCACTGTTTTCCGCTAAATATTTCTGGCTTTCCATCTGTACAAAAGAAAACATATTATTACAATAATAAGTCTTTAATGTTCATATTATTTTATCCTAGCTTAAGCGACCCATTAAGGGTTTGTCACCAGAGAGTTTAGCACAGAACCATTTTCACTGGACGCTTTTTTAGCCTAGTAAATGATACCGCCTGTACGAGGATGAAACTGACATTACACACTACCAACTTTAACCCATTTACCCTCTCAATAATTAGTACATAAATTATTTATTATACTATTACACTTTATATAATTTACATACTTTGTAAAATTCGGCAGACTGTTCTAAGAAAGGCTTCTCAAAGTCTTCTTCATAGACATTCCTAGTTTGGATGCCAAGAATCATTAACATTTGGCAAGCGTTTTTAATTGCAATTTTATCGACAACTTCCCCCTTACGTTCAAATTTAATCAGATTCAAAAGAGTTGTACGAAGATGATCTCGGATGTATCCATACCGAACGATCTAAAGATAAATTAGTGTTATTAAATGGATAATTTTATCATTTCAAATAAAAAGCATTAATAATTTACCAAATCCCGAAACAATATCAAACCCAAATTGTAAACGCTATCTACTTCATTGTGTTTGACATACACTCGGTCCATATACATCAATATATCACGTATCATCACCATTGATGTCTGGTGATCATTCCAAGCAACATTAAGTACTTGCAAAAAATTATTGTTGAGAGATTTTAAAACATCATCTCTCACCTACAAAAAATTATCAACAGTTGTTAATAAAAATTTATGAAAATTGTTTTGTAAAAAATACTTTACTTTGTTTTCTAAGTGATTAATAACCGCCTCTTTCATGCCTGTATATAACCTTTCGCCTTGTTTCAATAACACCATTGTGTAAGCGTTTCTGTATAATTCTTCAAAACTAAGACCCGAATTATTTTTTTTCTGAATTTCCTGAATTGCATTTTTTAGCAACAACCAAATGCCATCAATCAATCTATCGTCCATTGTCATCTGAAAAATCGTAACATTTAAAATTCAAATTTATTTTTTAATGTTTTGACCTATTTGAAAACACAAAAATAAATTCTAAAGAACTGTTGTTTATATGTTGCTTTAAGATCTGCACATTAAAAAACACAATACTGATAATTTAATAGTTATTAAATCAGAGCATATATTTTTTAATGTTATAATTTAATTTCTAAAACTAAAAAGTTAACAGCATAAACCATAGAGTAGGACTAAAACCAGTATGGCTACACAAAAGAAAAAAAAAGCCCACATTGTTAAGTGATTGGTAACTTTATAAGAAAAAAAAAAGTTTTTACCCCTTATCTTAAAATATTTAAAAATGATTTTTTAAAGATACTGTTACCATTGATATCTTGCTTGTATTAAACCTCATACAATTTTGGAACAAATTTGTTTTGCCATAGTGTTGTTATGAATCTGAAGTAAAAAAATAATGAACTCCTCTAGTTCCAAAGTTAAAGCTACTTGAAATTTGCATATTTTTTGTGTATATAAATAGGCAGAAGTAGAAAAAAAATAGTACGCCTAAAGGACTAACCTAACCTACGGCTCTGGAAGCATCAGCGACTCTGAACCTAACCTCCTATCATTGCATGTCGACAAATGTATGATGTGATGACGGCCGCAACCGCTGCCTAATATTATACACGCGGAAATATGCAAATTTCAAGTAACTATAACTTTTGAACTAGAAGAGTCTGACTAATTCTGACTTCAGTTTCGTAAAAACACTTTAATATGGCAAAAAAAAAGGGTGTCCGGTAAAGTAAATTTACACCCAAATTGAGTGTTATGTAGAAATGATTGTAGCTGAACAACTCATGAAAAACTGAATTACTGTGGAAAGTTGTAGATATTAATTTTTACGTTACGAACATGCAATTGTAGTTTACGAATAGAATTATGTTGACATATTGGGCATGACTTATCAAACCGCGCTAAAACTATAATTAGAGGATGAACGAACCCATTGTTAAAACACAAAGTGGTCAAAGAACAGTGAGGAGAATGATAATAGATTTAAGATTTAATAGATACTACAAACTTGGTTAACTCACTGGAAAGGCTTTGATTCGGAGGTTTGTACGCTTTTTGGGTACGCCGCTATTCATCATATTGCGTTGGGTGAACCGTTAGTTGTCTAGTAATGATGATTACCGATGGCGGTCATAGCAGATCGACAACGATGGCTAAAATAGCTGTACTTTCTTTGGACGACAAGTTAAGGTTTCGGTCATGGTGACGAGACGAAATATCCTATTGCGAATTTATCTCGGCGAACAGATTACTTCCACTCGTGTTGCGTTATTTTTTACGATCTAAGTACACCGAATTAGGAGTGTAACCAAAAAAATGAATAAATACATTGTAATAATATTTTCGTGTGTTGTCAGTTCGCAGACAAGACGGTTAGTCGAAAAATGGACAAACGATAGTACAAAATAAAATCGACGTAGATACCGCTACGATTTGTGTATATGTATATAAATTATTTTTACTATAATAAAACCGAAATATTATAAAAACCCGTAGAAAAAAAAAATTGATAAAAAAAGCGAAATGTAGTCCGCTGTCCGACACGAAAACAGTTTCTCTCGAGTTCGTTGTGTATGTGTGTTAACAAAGTTATTATTATTGTTATGTATACATATATATATAAGTATAATTATGTGTACAAAACGGCAGTCAGCGCCAGCAGTAAAAGAACAACCACAAGACACACTACAGTCGATACGATAATGTTGTTGTGTGTGTGTGTGTGTGTTGGTCCGTGCCCGTGGTCGAGAATTATCACGGTTTTCGCTGTGGAGGTGAAAGGCGGTCTGACTCCGGTGACCGCGGTTACGGTAACATTCAGGGTAGGAGCGGTAGCCATAAAAGTGGTAACCTTCGGAACGGCAGCATCGGCCCCTTGGCCCTAATAATTCATGTAGTACGGATAAATGGCCGACAGAGAGCGCTTTTGCCCTCACGCTTTTGTGTCAAATACGTTGCCGTTATCACTTTCTTATCACAGATCAAACGGCGGGGAAAGGTCTTACGTTTAAAATATTAATAATTTATTTTTATTTTCTACGCGTTCATTTTGCAGGAACGTTGTCTGTCCGTAAAACTACAAACATAGTAGTGAAATAAACAAAGCCGGCACAATTGAGTTGGGTGCAATAGTGGTGATGCGACGGGAAAAAGGTCATACTGAGTAACACTTATTTTTTTTGGTAGCACAATTTCGTACTGCCCACTTCTTGTAAGTATTAGTCGCGTAAACTTGACAATTAGAAAATTCTGATGTACGATTAAATCAATTCAGTAAAAACTATTGTACCCAAATAATATAGTATTCAAATAAGTTGAAAATATAATGACTGGACTATTTTCAGAATTAAACAATTCTCTGGATTATTTCGCAGTATTTCACTCAGAGGATTTTCTTAAACTTGACAATTTGTTTTAAACCGCCTTCAAAGTAGTAATAACCTGTTTTATTGTAATCAATGAAGGAATAAATTAAAATGCTTGCAGGATGTAAACAAATAATAATTTTTAACAATGGAGTCCAATTACCAATTCACTTTCAAGTAGAGTATACGTGGAGTTAATTGAGTTATTGGGATGAGTTCCGCAAAAAAATGGATAAATTAAAAACGTATGAGTAGATGGGTGACGGTTAAGCAGTTTTCCATCTTATTCAGTGATGAAATATTCATTCAAAGCAGTTTGGCAGATCCTTTGTCTAGGCTCTGTTTATAGAATTTAAAAAATAAATAGTAATTTCCCAATTTATCATGTCATTTGAAGTATTTTAATACGAGAAAAAAAAATAAGATAAAAAATAAAAAAATTGTTTTATAAAAGGTTTTCAAATTACAAACAAAATTTTTTTATTATAATATACTTAATTGCTTTAATTATGTTTGGTTATTTTTGGTAAAAAAAAAAAAAATAATACACGCTCATAGTTAACAAATAATTGTTTTTTTTTTTAGTAAAAATTCAACAGGCAAAATTATACTAGTTAGAAGATTCAAATAAAAATTAGTCTAAAATCATATTTAAATCTGCCATAGTCTCTAGGCCTGAAGATGATGACGTGCCACCACTTTGTGTTCTGTTGTTGTTTCTTTTCTTATAGTTTTTTCTAAAATACAAAATACAAATTTGACCACATATTTCTATTTTTTTTATCAATAGTTATAAAATTACAACAAATAATGTTACTTTTTTCCTTGATGGAGTAAAAAGCTTTGTGTTAATTTGTGATATTCCTTACAATGGTTCATTCTCTCGTCAGCATTCCAAAATAGTTCACAACAAGTTTCAATTAAGCATTTATACTAAAATGAGAAAAAATAAATTAGACCCAATTTTGTTTTTATAGAATACTATTTGGCAGATTATAGTCACCATGGGTTTTCTGGTCGCAGACACTGAAAAAAAATTATCGTGCGTTTCACATACATGTAAATCTAAAAGATGTGACGACTGCAATGTTTTACGACAATATATACAAGTGTAACGATGATTTGAATTATAATGCATGGCGTATGCCGTCATTGATGTAAAATTCCCAGTACATCCGTTCACATTGCATTTAAATTGATCTGTTTGTCTAACAAAAAAAAAAACCATTATTTCTGTTGTCGTTTCACCTGATAACTTTGTAAGTCACATGATAATATTTACCGTGGTTCATCAATTTCATCTTCAATCTCAAATATTCCATCGCGTCTGTAAATTCTTAATAGTTTGTCAATCGGTCTGAACAAGACGTCGTCGATCGATTTTTGTCGTTTGCCACACGCAAGTAATTTGTTGAGTTTTTCTAAGCTCGACATTGCCATAGTCGTCATTAATTTATTTTAATAATATAAGCATTATAATTTTGTACTAAAGTTGATGTAACTTAGTAGTCCTCAATGAGAAAATATATTTTTTACAACAGTGAACGAGGTCAAAATTTGAATTATGAATATTTTATTTTGCGATTGTATATTGAAAAAATATTTTGGGTGTTTTTCAGGCATTTATTAAACGTTTAAATTACGTTTATTTATTTTGAAAATATGATAAGTGATAACGGTTCTTATCGCTTATCAGTATCATCGAGATTTTGGGATAACACTACTTTTCCCACATTACGTTACTAAGGACAATTTTTCCCATTGTACACTTTTTCCCAATAACCAATTTCTTATCAGATCTTTCATCTTTCTATTATTCTTATCTTTCTATTTATTCTTTCAACATTACTTTTTTAACTTACTAGTTACTTTCAATCAGTAACCTCCTCCTAGACTGTAGTTTGTAAAACCTATATATTATGATATTTTCGGTTTAGCAAAGGTAAGCGACGGCGCCGAGCGAGAGAGTGCCCAACACACGGTTATACTTGCTCTCCGTATCAGTACAAAATTCACTTAAATGAAAAACACATTATTAATAAGACATTGGTAATTTATAAAATTTGGGAAAAGTGGTAGCAACCCGGTAGTTTCTCCTTCTTTTTATCTAAACTACAAAATATTGTTGTTCCATTTTGCTTGCAAGATTGGTTTTGATCAATAACATTAACCATAAATAAACAGCTACAGATAATAAACATTCAACATAATATTTTATAAACGTATTCGACTTTAAAACATGTCTGGGACCGACGAAATTGATGTCGTAACACCAAGGTAAAATCTTCAATAAAATTAAACATAATACCTGTTTGTCGTTCCTAGGTAATTATCAAGCACATGAGTTAACCTTCTCTTTTTTTAGTTTATCCAGCAATGCTCGAGGGTTGTTGCAAAGTCCAGGGGTGAAGAAAAAAAAAGTAAAAAGTAACAAAGAAAGTGCAGGTTCAAGCGACGAAGAACGTTGGTTAAAAGCAATCGAAACTGGTAAATTGAATGAAGTAGACGAAGAGTTGAAAAACATCACGAAAAAAGACCCCAAAATGATGACTGCTAGACAAAGAGCGATGTTCGACAGAAAGAGCGAACATAATGAATTCATTGAAGAACTTGTCGCGTTACCTTCTGGTAATGTATAATGAAATTTCTACACATTTTCTCTGATTGACTACAAGTGTTTTCTATAATCTAAATTTTTACAGGGTACAGAGAAAAGGTATTGACTCCTGAAATGTTACAAAAAAAAGCCATTAAATCTCAGAAAAGAAAACAACAGGCAGATGAAAAAAGAGAAAATGACAAGAAGCGCACAATGGAACGATTGTTAAAAAAACACGAAAGCAAAACCAAAAATAGTGCAAAAGGACGAATGGCGAGGAAAGCTGTGAATAATATTGTATACGTTAGCAAAGATGATAAAGTTGACTTGTTGTTCCCAGAAGGAATGGATTTTCCTCTAAAAAGTTCAAAATCCAAGTATGTAAATAAATAAGTATCATAACAAATTGTTGTAGCAATGGGGACATCAAATTTGATGAAACTGTAAGATTCTAAAGAAAAATTTAAAGACCCTTAATTTGCCGTTTTTCTTCAATGAGTCAAAATTTAAAAAAACGCTCTGGTATGAAAGAATGATACAATAATATATATAATATATAATAAACAATGTATGTGTTATACGGCTACATTAAATCTGCCTACAGACTAATTTACAGTTGAAAACCTAGGTACACATAAAAAGGTAAAATAAAAAGTTTCTAAAAGTTACCCCTTTCTTTTGCAAGAAAAAATTAACAGGTAACAATATTTTCTTGGTTTTCCACTGTATATCAGTATTTAGTAGTACTATTTTTAAGGAATAAACCACACAAGTTTAGATGTAGGTTGACTAGTTCTGAGTCCTGTGATTTATAATTGAAAATTAAATTATTATTTTTAAGATGTTTCTATCGGTTTTTGAAGGCAGTTATAGATCTTTTTTTTTATTTTTGGCCATATTAAGAACTATTTGGGTACTGCTTATCTATAGACTTGCTACACATAAAAATCAGTTCAGCGATTATAAGTTATCATGGATCCAGAAACAAAAATAAAAGGATATAACGGAAGTAGGGGTAGCTCGAGGACTTACGTGAAATGCACAAGTTTGCTCAGTATGCGTGTTTTACTTCTATTTCATTAACTTCAGTCGACAATTTTCTTACTGATTACTGATTTGACTCGTTGATGGAAACGACTAAATACGGACTTTTATTAGAGGTTATAACTACACAGGTATTAAAATATATTGACACCGTGTAAATGAGAAACCTGGGTTTTAACCCATGTAATTAAAAATATCCAGCTGGAATTTTCCAAATTCAGTTTACCTTTATAGGAGTTTTTAACTCTGAACATCAAGTCCAATAAATGTTTGGTTTACAACTCATTATAAACAAATCATAGGTAATAATTTGAAATTCAATTGTCATGACTATTTTGTTTTATTTTATTTAGACAACCTCCAGTTCAGAAGTTATGTGAAGTGAAAGGATGCAAAAATCGTAAAAAATATTCATGCTCGCAGACTGGCATCGCGTTGTGCAGTATACGGTGTTACCAATTGAATCGATTGAATCTTTTAAATGTTAAATAAATTTTTTTTTCATCTTTACATAAATATTTTGCTTGAATCTTTTACATTTTTATGATATTTATTGAGTTCACATTAATAATTAATAAACAATGTCATTATGTAAATCTTTATATAGATAATTGTAATATTTCCCAATTTTTTTTTTATGTAATTTTTTATCTGCTTACATTAATATAATGTTTATGACAACTAGTGAAGTTTTATTGTAATGGAACTAGTCGTAAGTTTTATGTTCATTTCAAAAAGACTAATGTGTACATTAAATGATACCAAATTCTTTTACTACTATTGCTTCTATTAAAATTACTATAAATTAAGAATAATTTGTTAGTTACTTTATTGAAATGTCGAAACTTTAATTTACTTAAAAAACTTGCTAAGCCTTTATTTGAATCAGAATTTATGTTAAACATGACGTTAACACTTATGCAATATATATTATAATTTACTTTAATTATTTTTAAGAATTCTAAATACTTGTGACAAAAACGTTTTTATTAATATACATATTATGTAATAATATAATACACAAACATTACTTTTGTCTTATATTTCCAAAATACAGACATAAGTATTTTACTTATAACACTTAATAATAATTTGTCAAGACTCAGTAATACACAATTGACTTGGCTCGCCTAAACTTAATTGAGGTCTATCCATATTTTTCAAAATTAAACTAGTCTGTAGTATTTTCCACGTGTTTTTTGCTACAGGGTCTTCTCGGAGAATAAATTGTTGTTCAAAAATGCCGACCATTCTTCCGATGCCCTGATGAAGGGTACCTCCGATTTGGACTTTTAACAGCCCGTGCGATTCTTTTTTCCATTTGATTTCATCGGCCAAATGAGGAGAGAAAAAAAGCTGATGTTGTGTCTTGATGTTCAACAAACTTTCTAAGACTGGCATTGTGTTTTGATACTTCTCGTCGATTTCTTGGCTGGCGCTCAGTATTCTTACTGTCATTGAACAATTTTCATAAAAATAACGTCCGTCCAATTGGTTTTTGCCAGGTGCGCCCATATTATTCAGCAATTCATAAAAATTTTTACCAAACATTTTAATGAAATCCTCTAGTAGTTTCACTGCGTCAGTAGGCGCTGTAGGTTGTATGGCTTGCACCTCTAACTAAAACAACAGTTAAATAATAATATATTGTTAATAATAATGTTGATGCGACTTTTTGAAATAATTGAAACTTACATTTTGAAATAATGCAGGTCGAATCATCGGATTGGGCAACGCCACCTGAACACATAATTGAGTTATAAATTATAAAAATATTACTGTAAATATTTAACAATATTTATAAACTCTACATAGTAGTACTACAAATAATTAATATAAATCCATTTAAGCTATGATGCAGAGCATAGAAAACGTGTTGTTTTCACAATGTTTATTATTTCATTTTTTTTATTACCCACAATACTTTTTTAACCGCTGTACTGATTTCTTTGGATAGAAAGTCTATAGATCATAAATCCGAAATTGTTTGATAACATTACATTACAGGGCTAAAAATGTATCCCTCTTAAAAATTGTGAGGAATGCCCTACAGTTCCTTTTTGCATAAACAAATTTAATTGACTCGAATGAATATAAAAAAAGACAGTGTCATTAATTGTTGCTGTGAAAAATTTCCTGTAAAATTGATATAAAATATGAATGTGGCCAAAAATGACTTATTCTCTTTCTCACTAACGTCTAACACTATCCAATTATTATAAATAAAACCAAGGTGTGAATTTGTAAATCAATTATTTTAAAAAGATTTAAGTTAAAACAATATTGATTATTAATAAATACCTACCGATGGACATTTACATAATATGTAATATATTTTAATAACTGAAGTTAATGGACACCGTTTTACAAGTTTTGTGTAGTAGCCCATGTTATATTCAAAAACAACTACTTTAATATATTTAGCTATAATTTTAAGTTTTAATCGAGTTAGACGGGGGTCATGGTGAGAGCCTGCACGTGGCGTCCCCCGCATAGCGATATAACCTAGACTAGGATATATCGCTAACTAATCTCACCACCACCGGGCGAATAAAGATGCTTACCCAAAACGGCCCTTTTCAGGGCCACCCAGCGCTGACAGTTATGTCAATCAACATCGAAGGACTATCTAGTCCCAAAGAACTATTACTATCGGAACTATGTGTTGAATGGAAGTGCGATATACTTTGCATCCAAGAAACACATCGAGGTATAAATGACAACCGCCCAAAAATTAATGGCATGTAAATAGCATTAGAAATACCGCACAAAAAATATGGAAGTGCAATATTCACAAAACCTAATCTAGTCATAAAATCAGTAGGATCTAGTCAAATAAATAGTATAGAAATAATTACCATTGAATTAACGAACTGCTCAATAACATCAGTATATAAACCTCCAGCCCAACCATACGAATTTATAACCCCGGAAAACTTTAAAAGAGATACGAACAATATAGTTGTAGGTGATTTTAACAGCCATAGTGTGAGTTGGGGCTATACTGAAACTAATGAAGATGGACAAAAACTGGAAGAATAGTCAGAAGCAGAAAACTTAACGCTGATACACGACCCTAAGCTACCACACTCTTTTAATAGTGGACGCTGGAAGAGAGGGTACAACCCAGATCTCATTTTCGTAACAAATAGCATTGCACAACAGAGTTCAAAATATATAGGGAAACCGATACCAAATACACAACATAGACCTATGTGCTTGCAAATCCACGCTGTCGTTAGAGCACAAAGTGTACCATTTAAACGGAGATTTAACTACAAAAAAGCTAGATGGACGGAATTCACAGAAGCTTTGGAAAATAAAATCCAACAAATCGAGCCCACACTACCAAACTACGAGAAGTTTGTGAACATAGTGAAAGAAATATCCAGAAAACACATCCCTAGAGGATGTAGATCACAGTATGTGACGGGACTTGACAAAGCCTCTTCAAGGCTTTTTGAAAAGTACAAACAAGAATTCGATAGAGACCCTTTCGCTGATAATACAATACTAATTGGACAGAATTTGATGCAAGCGGTAAATGATAACAGAAGACAAAAATGGAAATCACTAGTGGAAAACATGGACATGACCCGAAACAGCAAAAAAGCTTGGAATACCTTAAAACAGTTAAACGGGGATACAAAAGCCATTAGACAACGTAGTAATGTAACAGCAAATCAAGTCGCACATGTCCTTCTCAAAAATGGTAAACCTGAAAACAAAACAAAAAGAATACAAACGCCCAGGGACAAAAAAAATGAAAGATCACTTATCCAAGCAGACTTTAGCAAAGAAGAACTAATACATGCAATAAAACAGATGAAAGAAGGTAAAGCACCCGGAATAGATGAAATACAAACAGAAATAATAAAACGCTTTGGAAAAAACACACAGGAATGGATATTGAAGTTTTTTAACGAATGCCGTAAAACAGCAAGAATCCCAAAACAATGGCTAAAGGCAAAAGTGATAGCACTATTAAAACCTGGGAAACTACCAAACGATCCAAAAAATTTCAGACCAATATCGTTACTATGCCATATGTATAAGCTATATGAAAGATTAATTTTGAACAGAATAGCCCCAGTCATAGAAGAAAACCTAATTAAAAATCAAGCTGGGTTTCGACCAGGGAAATCCTGCACTAGCCAGATATTGAACCTAACACAGACCATCGAAGATGGTTTTGAAACAAAAAAAATAACCGGAGCTGTGTTCATAGATTTGACTGCAGCATATGACACTGTTAATCATAACCTCTTACTGGACAAAGTATATAAAATAACTAAGGACTACCACCTGACGAAAGTAATTGAGTCAATGAATAGAAATAGAAGATTCCATGTACGACTACAAGACCAAAAAAGCCGATGGAGAAATTTAAAAAATGGCCTCCCGCAAGGTAGTGTTCTCGCACCAATACTTTTTAATGTATACACAAATGACCAGCCCATATTGGAAAATACTCGTCATTTCCTATACGCCGACGATCTAGCGATAACTGCACAAGGAAATACATTTAGTGAAGTTGAACAAACACTCACACTTGCGCTGATGAAATTGAATAGCTACTATATACAGAACTCACTAAAACCCAACCCTACAAAAACGCAAGTAAGTGCATTCCACCTTAACAATAAGCAGGCAAAAAAGGAACTCAAAATACAATGGCGGGACATTAATCTTGAACATACACAAACACCTACGTACCTAGGAGTCATATTAGATAGAACATTAACCTTCAAAAGTAACTGCGAAAAAATCAAAATGAAAGTCACAACACGAAACAACCTAATAAGGAAACTAACCGGAACAACGTGGGGCGCTAACCCCCAGTTGCTAAGAACCACAGCACTCGCCTTATGCTATTCAGCCGGAGAGTATGCATGCCCAGTATGGAGTAGATCGTGCCATGCGAAAAAGGTAGATGTAGCTTTAAATGAAACATGCCGCCTAATAACTGGATGCTTAAAACCCACACCCATACCTTTGGTACAAGTTCTAGCTGGCATAGCACCCCCCGATATTAGAAGAAGTGTGGCCAGTGATGCTCAAAAAACAGCCCAGGTAAATGATGAAAGACACCCACTCCATGGACACCAACCGGCCCCAAGCAGACTGAAATCGAGGAAAAACTTTCTGAAATCAACCACGGAGATCACAACATCACTTGAGCATGAACGACACCGAAGATGGATAGCTCTGAACCTAACAAATAATTTTAAAATAAGGCCAATGGAAAAACTTCCACCCGGATATCGCAACGAATGGAACACCTGGAAAACACTCAATAGATTGAGAGTAGGTGTTGCCCGAACAAAGAAAAATCTACGTAAGTGGGGATACGATACGGGAACCGTAGACTGCGACTGTGGAAGTGAACAAACAGAACAACATATTCTAGTGTGCCCCCTAAACCCAGTGCCATGCACACCTGAAGATCTGGCGAATGCAACGGACGCGGCTATACAAGTAGCCAATCAATGGAGTAAAAAAGGAATATAACAAAACAAAGCATCTTTTTTATAGCCTGGACACGATAAGAAAGATCGAGTTAGACATGTTATCTTATCAGTACACATACCTGTTGTCCAGTCGGATCGAGGAGTAACTTAAAATACTCAACCGCCTGAATTTTATTGATATCTGGAGCTACATTGATTCCATGTTTTATTAAAAAAAGTACAATTGTCTGTAATGGCGTTTTTTTGCAAGTCAAAATACGCCAGCTGGGTTGTGTCAACAGCATTGTTTCGGCCTCTGAAAACAAAATTAAAAGGGCTATTCGAAGGCTATGAAAATATTGTTGCAATCAAAATCAAACTCCCATCAAATAGGTTTTCTTGTAAAAAAAGTTTCAAGACGGTAATACCTTCTCTTGTGTTTATTCTGATTGCGCCGCCATGATAAACTGACCTTGTAATTTCACAGAGTTTTGCGGTGTCCAAATTATCCAAAAAACGTTTGAGTACCATACTCTCATTGTTCAGTGTCATTATAAAACTGTAATACAACATTATGACATTAACTTTCTTACACTAGCTGTGTATTAGTACCTAAAATGTTGTTGTAAGCAAATTTTAATTATACTTGCGAAATATTATACCGTTGATTAAGATGGTCCTTGTCCTGATGATTATTTATTATAATTTAAAAAAAAAAAATGACTAGATAAACTTTAGAGTCTCGACTCTCAATCATCACACGGCAGTGAGCTGGAAGCTTCAAATTTCAATTAAATAGTATTGTTTATTTTGTTGATAACCTCAGACCTTTTCTGGTGTTATCAGACTACCTCATGTTGTAACCAGATTGATATCACGGCTGGAGGTAACCTGGTTGCACGTCGGCCTATACAATTGAATGGGCATTTGTTAAAAAGAGACCTATGTTACAACTTATGACATATGTCAGTAATTTTTATCATGTATAAAAACACAAATTGCTTTAAAATTTGTTAACTTCGCTAATTATTTTTAATACATTATTATTTAATCGAAATTGTGATGATTGATCTGAATAAGCAAATTTATAAACTGTTTTTTGTTTCTCCCGAAAAGTTTTTATAACGTCACGTATTATGTTCCTTTTTAATTCTAATTCCCAATCAATTATAGTATACCGTAGACCTATACAGAAATTGACAGTGATTTGTGACTATAGCTGAAGTTTAAAGCTTTAGTTCATTTTAACTATTAATGAATCGGGAAAACATGTTTTAAAACTTCGGTTAAATGATCTGAGTAATTGGGCACATAAATTGTGTTAAGACAGTTAAAAAGTGATTTTTTCCCGATTTGGCATTTTCCAGTATTTTTAATATCTAAATTCCAATCTTGATAGACAATTAGGTAGGTACTACAACAAATTTAGTAACTATAGAGTATAATTCAGGATTCAGTTACCTACCTTACCTAACATGTGTGTAAAAAGTTTATACAGTGTATACAGAATACTTTTATAATTTCAATTGTTTGAAACTCGAACAGGTAGTTGACTGTTACGGTGGTATATTATGCTTAAATCACAGAGGTTTACTGCAATGGGAATATATTTTTTTATTGAGTACAAGGTATTGCAATTAAAATCATCGATCATTCTAACAGAATTTCACAAGACGTTCATAATTCAGCCATAAAAAAAAAATACCCCCGTACAGTGTAGTCGTGACATAGTGGGGACAGGGAGGTCACAACTCACTGGTCTACAGGAATTGTTAAAACTGAAAGTGATACAATCACTTTCAAATAAACGATTTGGTGCTAACCTGTGGACATTGCACCTCACTTTAATACTTTCTTACTGTACTCGTTTTAACATACTTACCATAAATTCACTGTCACATCAAAGTTTTAAAAGATATTAGAGGTCTAGAAAATGTTTTAAAAGATGAAAAATTGTTTATTATTGAATATGGTAAAATAACATAAATTTAACCAAAAAGAAAAACTACAAAATTGTGATTGTTTCTCATTACGTTGTATGGTATAGAACTGCAGACTGTTTTACTGGTCTTGTTTTATTAATTTTGGGAATACGAGATTCGGGACAAAAATGTAATTATTCCCTATTACTATTATTGTCATGTTTAAGCAATTATTAAAATACATTTTTATTGTTAATGTGTAATTTTACATTAAACATATACCTACCTAATGTATGCTGGGTAATGCTGGCTTAATTAAAAATAACATTAACACTATTGATCGTGTAAAACATATTAAATGTGCTTTTTTAAAAACAAAAAAAACTACATTAGTAATTGTTTGTTTTAACCAATTGAATTGATAGCAGATTATTACTATAATTACAGTAGTTAATACCTATTTATGAAAAATGTTTGTTTGACTGGCAGTTGGAAATAAACACATGTCAGGGTCAATTTCGAATATTTCCGAATGGAGTCAATTACCCAATCTTCGGTATGTAGTAAAAATTATACCGTAGAAATGTTGATGGCCTTTTTTTTTTTTTTTTTTTTATCCATTTTGAACCAATTTAATGGGTGCGTGTACTTATTAAAATTCAACTAAACTCAAAATAAGGATCCCCTTAGTATGACATCCGTGACTGGAAAACCAATGATTGATAGGCTGACGGATTGCCCTTTAGTTTTAGTATAGAGGTGCTTAAGTTTGGAGCCGGAGAACCTTGTTGCTGTGAAATTCAACTCTTCCAGCTTCCTCCTCTCCCAGACGTTTTGGTCTCCCGACATCGAGAAGATTCTCACACCCGGACAACAGCTTATTCGTTCGTCTGATCTAGTAGTGAATGTAAAACTAATAAGAACACTGCCGGAGGATAGGATTAGACTCTTAACGGTTTGTGTCAGCAGGGATTCACGAAGTTATGGAAATTAGCGTTAAAAAAAAAAAAAAAAACTGATCTTTATTAAATAACAGGTATAATTGACGAACGAACAGAAAATGATTGTTTTAAACATTTAACAGATTCGAAGGCGAAATACTGCAAATGTTCACGTCGAATACCACCACGGCCAGCCGCAGCCGCGTTGATCATTACGGGTACAGCCAAAACGGTCCAGATGCAAAGCTCGCAAGGGTCGTGCGAGACTTGATGGCACTCGAAGGTTCACTTGTCGTTGCCCGAGAACGACTCGTCAGAGACCGGATGGAAAGGTACGACAAGAACTGCATAGACAAACAGTACCGGAAAATATTGCAAAGGGCCAGGGCGCATTTGAACGTGGTGAAAACCGGCGCCGTGGCCGCAGATAATTTCGAAAAGATCTCGATCGACGCGCAAAGGTTGACGGCCATGTTTATCGCGATCAAGGATCAACACCGATCGAAAAAGTTCACAAAACGCAAACCGTCGTGGTGGGCAAAATATCTGTTGGTCGTCTACACGCTGTTAATTTCGCTGTCGTTGTGCAGCGTCGGCCATGCGGTTTGGAGTTTTCACTCGTGGCTGATCAGCTCTATAAATATCGCATTTTAATAAAACTACCGCAACAGCCGTTTGTGTTTTGTAATAAAAGTAACGATATTTGTAAAAAAAAAAAACCGTTAATGACCAAAAAAAAAAAAAACGGTTTGACGTCCTATATTTTGCCCCCAAATAAAATAATATAGTCCTTTACGTTCTTAAGGAGTCAAAAACTTTTTAAAAGACGGGTTTTGTATGGGCAATATTTGAGAAAATAAGGGTTTTAATAAATTTCGATCATGTCGATTTGTTTTCAGGTTAATTTCTATAAGGTTCATGGTACAATTTGTAACTATTTCATTTACTTAAAAAGCCAACGAAGTGAATACTAAAAAATTGAGAAATCCAAAGGAAAATTCTAATTGAAATATCAAAAATCGATTGCCACAATAACCGAGAAAAGAAATTGGACCATCCTAAATAGGTCTAAGTTTGTGAAGCTTTTAGGTCTAAAATGTCTAAAAAACTTTTTTTTTGTAATTAATGTAATTGTAAAACATGTTATACTAATTATCATTAAATAGCTGCACAATGTTATGTGCCTATTCAATAGTCAAAAGTAAATATAGTAATATTTCATAAATTATAAAATAGGTTTATTGAAAATGAAACTCAGTAGTGTGTTTAAGCCTTATCTAATTGTATATTTTAGAGTGACCTTAGTAAGTTTATATTCAGTGCATCAAATATATTGTTATTATTTAAAAAGATATTTTTAACCATAATATATTTTATTTTAATTAATTCGTGTATTAATGTTTTTTTAGACAGATAACTATATATTTTTCTACTAAATAATACTTATTAAAAAATGTATCTGAAATCATTATTTGGATCTTATTAAAAATAAAAAAACAAAATTGCATATATTATATAAATATTTATTTTAAAAAACATTTATTTAAGTACAATATTAGTTTAAATAAAAAGTCTCCGAAATTAATATTTGAATCTCATTTAAATAAAAACAAAACTGCATTTTAATTTGAGTTTTTATATTATGTTACGGTCAGGAACTCAACCTCTAGAGCAATTGTCTACCCGACTGGATTTCCTTGGAAGAGAAACGGAATCCTAACAAATTTTAAATGATATACGATTACCTTAAAATTAAACTTAAATACACTTACCTAATAAATTAATGCTGTGTACAAGAACGAAACGTCAAAAATAAAGTCGATTGAAATTATTATTAGTCGATTTATTTATGTGTATATTTAAAAAAATATAAAATAATGAGTTATGACATAGCTACAATATTCATGCTATGGAATTTACTATAAAGTAAATTTACTTACATTTTTATATTAAGTTTGTAATTTACTTTCACTAATGGAAAAAATGTAAAAGGTCAAAATTTGTTATTCGAAAGAGGTTATGTACAAATATTATGCGATTTCGTACAAACAATTAACTATATAGTTACTGGTCACCCAATTAGATAAATATTTAACATTAAGGTAAATATGACCAAAATAAATTTAAATTTACTTCGAACATTTTTCATTAAAACCGTAGTTACCTAGGTATTATTATTATATAATTAAAAATACTTTACTTTTTAAGAAGTTTACTTGTTTTTAGAGTTTAAAATAATATTGGCCTTGACAAAAGGCTTGTATTTAATAAAAATACTGTTATCGTTATTGTCAACAAGTAAACAACTGAATGTTTTAATTTAAAAAATTGGTACCTATTTAAAATTGTTAATTTTATTCAATGCGAAATTCAATACTAAAAACAAATGTAAGTATTTTTACCAGCGAACCTCTCTGTTTAATATAGTTTATATTATATGTTATGTATATGCATGTTTAAATATTAACATCAAACGATTTTAGGTTGAGAACACACAAAAGTGGGCGTTATGTCAATAAAATCGAATTCGCTAAAGCTTTGAGTTACGGCATTGCTAATCATATATTAAAACATTTATGTAACGAAGGAACTTCGGGCTCGGATCAAATGTCTATGGACAAATTATTAGCAGGCTATAAACAAATTACCGGCAAGACACTGGATTCTAACTCACAGACGAAGCCGGATAAAATTAAACTCGGAGTAGCGGGCGCCGTAGACGATATGTTAACTTCGGTGCAAAAAGGAGTCGACTTCAAAAACATGTATCCCTCGAAAACAGACGGTGGCTCCAAGAAAAACAAAAACCAATTACCCGAAGATAAAGATATGACACCCGAGCAACGTAGGAAAATGCAGATGGAAGCCAGGAGAGCAGGGCAAAACGCATCGGGCAAACAGAATATCATAGGAGATTCCAACAGAAGAGCCGGACTAAATAATGGC